CTCATTATGCGCGAGTCAAGGTGACATGATGCACCCGTTTGTCTCTTCGCCCGACCCTTTAACCCTCAAACTATTAAAGACTGACAACAGTCTAATCCTCCTCTTCTTCGTCATCTTCCGATATCGCATTTAGTCCTGTTGCCGATGAGCTAGAGGGAGAGCTTGCAATCTCAGCTGCCACACCCGTGAACGACCGTCGCATGTATGAAAGTTCCTGAATCAAGAAATAAAGAGCAAACAGATCCATTAGTGACTACAGTGCTACTTCATCGCAAGTCTGCTAAACGTACCTCAAGGATAAGAAAGGCCATCTCATCTTCGACGTCAAGAGAGACAAAGGAGCTAAGTTGCCGCTGTGCGCTGTCGCATGGAATTGTGACGATGCTTTCCATTCTCGATGAATCAAAAGTGCAAATACGTTCGTGACCAGTCGCAAATACGAAAATGAATCACAAGGTACCGAGTATACACTAGGTACGATGCGAGACATGACCACGTCTTGCCTCTGTACTGTAACCTAGTTTAACAATGACCGCGTTACTGTCTGTTCGGGTAGAAATATTCACGTCATTTGGGAAGGTTACCGATAAATTGCGACGTCATCAGAAGCCAATGACGCGAGCTTTAGCTGCTTTAGGACTTTCACGCGCAAAAGCTTCTTTAGATTCTGATGCTTAGTATGATCATATTTCGTAAGAAAATGTATTATGTCAGTGGCGACATAGCGATCCCAATTTGATGTTGCGATATGACGGTTGAAGTTTGGCAACGTGATCAAGTTAAACGCTCCTTCGTTACCTTTTAGATGTGTACACGGTATATCGCCTACTGGACAGAAAATAGTTTCTGTTCAGATAAATTTATCATCAAATGGTAATTTGCTATTAGCATATAACCAACGAAGGCAACAATTTTGATTGGTCTAATAGCGTAATTTAGGTAACTTTAGTCATGAGTTCGCTAAAATTTGCTACTTTATAGCATCATCTTTTAATATATCAATGAATCCACCATCATTAAACAGCAAATGTGCAAGTTATCATTCGAGTCGATTGCAACAAAAAAGATTCTATAGTTTTGATGATTAGTCGTTTGCTCTGTTCATATGCAAAGCACAGCTTTATTTGTATCACACGATGACACATCGGTCATTTTTTTATTCCGCGCTGTGAAGATGCAGCACGAGCCAGTACCTAAGAAACAAGAGCAGATGGTTGAACGGCTACACGCGTAACTGCGAAGACTGTGAAATAGAATACATACCATGACAAGGTGTTGTACTAACTACACTGTTATCAAAATTGTCCCTCGCACTAACAACAAGGCTAAGACGTACCAAACGAACTACCATAATAAAGTATCAGATTCTGAAACGACGGAAATGAGGAGGATACCCCCCACCAGACAGTAAAGTCTGTGAAGCATGCGAGCTGTTTGTCTTGTGCGTGCTGTGCCATCATCTGCGTTTGGGGTGCAAACCTTTTTCTGTGCGAGGTGCACGGAAACCCTGTTGCACTTGGTACATTTATCATCAATCTGAACGTGAGTCTAGAAAGATTGTATCTTAAGCGAGAATCAAAAACGAGTCACGTGGGGCATTAGCCCTAGAAACAACTCATTGAGCTCCCGATCCTAGTTTCTTTGACAGGATAGTATTAATCAAAGAATTGAAGCCCAGACGGGCGATTGAACACTGGTAGGCGCTCGCCAGATTTGACCTTAAACCGATAAGACATATCAGGCGCACTTCAAATAAGTACCAGTTAAAGTCTGCAGCCTCTTACCGTTGAGTCAATTATTAAGTGTTCATCTTTCCGTGGGAAGGATAAAATAACCACTTTCTGGGTACAAGAAGTGGGGATGGCCATTAAGAGGCCACACACTACACAAAGCGTCACTGCATCGCATTGGTTTTCTCCAAAATTGCACAGGAATGGGCATTATGTGCGGTATTGATTAGGTAAAGGAATTTTCGGCATGAAAGTGTGAAAGCCCGAGATGCAGTTGGTGTATTAAGCAATTAAGTGGGTGTACATGCGATCAAAACTCTTGTTCAATGTTTGAGGTTGGTGTTATCGGACTATGACTCTCATCTAAAAACACCTGTTGCCATGTTGCCGGTAGACCCTTTTCAAGAGGCAACAGATATCATCATCGACACGATGAGTCTTGGATTAGGTGCGGCTCATTGCATATTACCAGCCTCATTTGATGATGTGGTGGATGTCGTACTAGATACGGGGCACAATGTCCGTGCCGCGAGCGCTGGATAGACACGTGAAGACGAAGGCTCTACGAGCGCATCCAATGTAATAAATCTCGGGAAAGACGAGTCATGGAAAACACTTCTTCCGAATGGCTCGCACATATTGCACACCAGCGTGCCTCGATTGGAGATTTAGGAGGATGGAGCTCTCATAGAGGATCAGTTAACGCATGTTCGCATGGGAATTCTAAATCACATTAGGTGAGAATAGACCCCATGGAAATGCACTTTGTACTTTTGTACTTCGTGTAAATCAAGGTTAATCCAGCTCAGATGGAACGACAATTTTCTATATACGTGCGGCTAGCAAACCAGTATTCAACGCCGCTATTACCGATGTTCAGTTTATTCATTTTTGTAGGAAGTGCTGATACATTAGGAAGCGCGTGAATTACACGCGACACGCAATTGTCAACATCGATCGACATTTTAAAAGATATCGATCACGGACGCGATGTCCGTGTGTCATACGATAGGGATAACAAGTAACACATAGAAGGGATTCTGAACCCTCAAGAAATCCCTGAGAAGATTGCATATGTGGAGCAGTGCTTCGTCCTGGATCCGAAGTCGAGTTGCGATCGCATGAAAGGTATGTTGCAGGTTGATTGCCATGATCCCTAGCCATTAGTCCTAAACATGATTCATGTACGATTCTGCAAGGAATTATCATTGGCATTCATGCACTACTCTCCTCGTGAAGCTTTTGTGAGTCATAACCCACCGATGCTGAGCAGAAGAAGCGGCTTCCTCGGCTACGTGAAGCTGCGATAGCTTTGGTAGCCAGGATACATCATCTTACGTAACCAGTGACACTTGAAAAAAAATCTTGGGCAAAAAAATCTAACAACACAGATGTGGAAGTGAGTTGCGCTTTCTAAATGAAAAGGTTGCTAGCGGGTTTGTTGCAGTCCTCACCGTGTTGTTCTGAACAGGTGGATAAGTATAGCTGGGGCTAGGTTTCTTTCAGGCAGAACGGGTCGAAGCGACTAAATACCATTGTCTCCATGGTTTATATTCACTAGATGAGTCAGAGCAGCAAAAAAAAACATCGTGGATATAGACGAAGATAATCACAAGACAGGCAAGGTTCTGGCAAAAATAAGTTAAGATCATCCTTGTTACAATGTAACGGGGCCGCTTAGTCGGCTTATCATGTGGCGCGCTCACCTTGCAGAGCATTAAAGCTTCACGAGATTGTGGCGAAATCGTTTTACTCGTGAATAAAGTTATCGCCAGTTACTCGAAAAATAAAGAAGAGATTACTAAGTTAGTCCCAAATGAATAATGTTTATCCTTGTCACCTCAGGCAGAAGCTCTCAGCGAGCTTGAAGAGTCATTCTAAGGATATGCTTGCAAACGGTCACCTCAGTCAATCTAAGCCGGAAGTTCTATTGTTGAATTCAAGACGGCGAGACTTAAGAGATGATGTAACTTTTGAAGGTGATGATGCTAAGAGCATCCTGTACAATCTGAACTGACACTTGTAATTTGATAATTTCCGGGGGTAACCGCATACGGTATTGACAGGGCTAGCGCCAAGCTCATGTGACATTATATTGATCGGTTTTTAGTTTCTGTGACACTTGGCACTGCTATGCACACTAAAGAGAAGGGTAAATGAGGGTGAGTTTAATAACAGATTGATTTAAATAAAGTAGGTGTGCTTTTTTTCAAAAGCAAGGTACATATTGATCATTTGGTGCACATACCACACCTCGTATTTCTCGTCGGTCATGCTGCAAGCCGCGACGTCGGGCAGAAATGGACGGTGGCATGTAGGCGAGTGAGTCAAGACATCCCGGATAGTCTGCGCTGATAATTGTGCATTATATATTTACTTTGATGGTCTGTATCTGTAGCACCCGAGGATTTAAATGTAATTTGGACACTGCCGCGGGTCTGTTGATGGAGATCTTGATGGACAATCAAGCGATTTAATTTTGGCCAAGTCAAATCACGTGAACGGAAAGCACGAAAGTGTCAAGAGGTGGTCGTAACACTAGATAATAATAGTGGTAAAATAGTTGTATCTCTGTTGGCGAAGGCTCTGCCGTTATTGTAAACGCGGATTGGGTCGGACACATTGTCGTCAAGTGATTTGATGCTAAGGTGAGAATAGAATTAAATATGAATGAAAAGACAGCATTTTTACAATTCCCCAGAATCAATATAGTGATTCTTACGGACGCATCGGAATAATTATTCTAGCGATTCATAGACATAAGAATAGATAAGATCAGGTGTTGGCGCGCAACCGCGTGCCTTTTGATTAGATTGTACAGTGTAAGTAGAAAATATACTATGCACTTTTGAGCACATCCGTTTTTTATTGCTTATTTTTGTCCAGCAAGTACTTTACCGAGAACATCTTTGTAAACACCGTATGATTGGCTTTGTTCCACCTACGAATGCTCAACTTATTCGATGTAAGTAACGTTATCGCAAAGCAAACAACCCGACCAAAGTACACGCTATAAGATACCATTGTTAACAGCTGCTAGTACATGACTCCATCCCAACTTTTATGTGATTGAACCATATATAAATGGTATTGAAAGGAGCTGCATATATTAGTTGCAACATTAAAAGGGGTGTGGGCTTTATGAATTGTACTTAAAACAGGAAACTCAGCAGCGAACACATTATCAATTTATAGTCTATTGTCTCCGGGGTCGTTGATTACTTACAATAAGTAAAATTGTGTCGATTTTTGATTATGTGATCTCATGTGACTTACATTTAAAATTGATATCACCCTATCCGTCTTCCCAGCATTGGCACACTGATATTCGAATAAAATGTAAACAGCACATAGGTGCGTTGTCTGATTAAACAGTCCATGGTGTAATTTTCAAAAGTTTGAATGAACCGAATAAATGGACTAATAATTTACAAACCCAGCAACGTCACGTTGTGCTTGCATAAACCAAGCACTCCCACCTACTCATGCTAATTTGTGAAACGTGCTCTGGCGTGGAGTCTTAAGACAGTGCTACGATGGTTGCGATTCAAGGTGTGACAGAGTGACAAGTTGAGAGCACTGCAACTAAAGTCTATTTATGTCCGTAAAATGTTATATGCGTGATTCAAGGATATGATCCGTTCTCTCCGTGATGCATATACTTTGAATACTAGAACCTGACATGATTGCGCTTAAGTGCATGATTCAGTTTGCGAATCGGGCCTAAAACGCCCTTTACATCCGTCCTAAACAATTCGACTTCAGCGAATAGGATGTCTGTCTAAATCGTTGTCTCATGTTTGACTTTGTGAAGTCAAACAGGACGTGAAAGTCGTGACACCCCCATCAAGTTCGGTTCCTGCTGTCAACAATCTAGTATTTTTCGAGACAGCTAATACAGCTACCGAGAGACAGAAGCCGAGGAGGGTGCATCAGGTCGTAAGCGGCACGGACGCCTACACCATCACACCGAAAGCCGGAATTCAAACTCTCATGTGTTTTAGACTGAGGATAGCTCTTTCACTTCATCCAAGTACGAATAGTAGCTTTGAGCATCCGCCAGCCTGATCGCCCCTAGCCCATCGATCAATTTTGTCTGAGGCCGACTCTCTTGTGGATGCCTCTCGTGTATCTTCTCGGTTGTGGTGACACGTCGACTCTTTTTGATAGTCACGCCGTGTGTCCGACGCTGAGATGTGTCCCATCTCGAATTTTCTCCCTTAGTTTCGTCATACTGCCTGGACTGAGTCACGCTCAGCGGGTCGGAATTGAGTAGCCGCTTTGGAGCAGAGGACAACTCAGCTACATAAAAAAAGACAGAAGTTGCTTTATCCGCAATAGAGCTCTTCGCGTTCAACGGACCCGTAAGAACGAAATCTTAGAATGGATTTCGTACACTTACATGATACAAAAGTTGTGCTCACACCTGCTTAGACATAAGTATGAGTCATTTCTTTTTCGCTACTATCGTGAACGGTCCAAAGTAGCAGGGTTACAACTTGACTTGTCAATCATTTCATTCAACAAATTTCTGCTCGTCAATTTACCCGTGTGTACTTTACCTGCCTCTGGCATCGGCGTGATGTTTTTCTTTACCTTGTCAAGACCACTGCGTAGCGTCTCGTGCGCACGACGCTTAATTTGTTTGATGTAATATCTCTGATGTAGGACTAAGTGTAGCCGGGCTAATAATAGCAAATTGTATCTGATTGGCAGCTTCTTTCTCACTGATATCGGAGCCTCTTCATGGCGTGCGGTGGGTTCAATATGCTATTAATGTAAGAACACCAGTAACGCGGTCTCTTCGAGATATAGCTCCGCAGGGTATCCTCCGTGACCCGATTCATGTATGACGACTGACCATCTGATTACAAGAACTCCGCTTTACAGCGCGGATGTCCGCTCGATACAATGGCTGCCGGAAAACACTGGTGACAAAAGACGGCTTGGACGCAACTTCACCGGTAACGTTGTTGGTGACAACAGCGAGGTGGGCCAACTTCCTCAGACAGTCCACAACATTCGTCAGATCCGGAGCTTTCAAGGCTTTCTCTCACGGCCTTACAGGCCGACACTTTCGCCGCATCCTAACACTCTGAGGTATCTTTTCTTTGGAAAATGTGAGGCGGTTTACCATGTCGGCATAGTTTGCAATGAACTTGTACAGGTAGTTGGCCAGGCTAATCCACTCACTGAAGTGCTTTTGGAACAAACGGTCTGGCCATTCTTCAACAGCCTATATCTTTGCGAGATCTTCCTGCAGACCATCCGAACTCAATGACCAAAAACAGAAATATAATTTTTTAGCCCCGGGCTACATTTGTCTATATTTGCCAATAGGGACAAGTGTATTGTGCTCTTAACAACTATAAACGAACATGCTATCAAGGGAAGATTGTGCACAGCCACGATGTGACATATGAAGTAGAGTCATTCGCCGCTGGTGAGTACGACAAACTAATGTACGTCCTACGGTATACATTAGTTTCTGCACCGCGGTGGGAGGGATTTTGCTCTCTCGGTAAGATAATGCTTACCGAAAAGATCTAAAGCCCAAAATGCTGTGGGCTGCGCTGTTTCGCAATGCACTCATCCAGCATTCGGCATTCAAGCCAGAATAACGACGGCATTTTGCTCATTATAACATACACTCACTGTCTCTTGCCGTTAGCCTTTCAGACACACAAAGCTGTCGCCAATTGTGGAGATATACTTGCTCACCGAACGTGCTTTGTGCTAAAGACGGAGAAACGTCAATCACGGAACACGGCTCCCCTGGTGAAGGGCAACGGCGTGTGACGCACTGTTTAGTTGAATCAAGTCATTTTTATGACGCGCTTCTCTATTTGGGGGTAACATAAGCGGTGGATCTCTCGTCATCACGTCAAGATTTATTTTCAACATTGGATAAAAATGAATTTCAGCAACCTTGGAAATTCCACTTTTAACAAAATAATGTCTTTTAAACTCCGTTCCAAAATTTTGTTTAGGTGGGTTTTCGAACATAAATTCGATTTTGTAATGTGGTTTAAAGTAGAAATAAGTTTTATTTTTTGATATAGACGAAATCGTGATAATTTTCCAAAAAGCGTTTTGTCTCGTTTTGTGCTGCTCGCAAAGCACAAATTTGTGCTCTGCAAGTTTCCTCATTGGCAGATAAACTCATGATGGTCGACGAGTCTGGTTCTTCATCAGGTATCAGCCGTGGCCTGTTGTTGATCTTGTCACAGAAGGATATTTTTTCAGCTCTATCGGAGTTTCTGCTGGGTGTACTGGGGGACGCCTTACTTTCCCTATGATGTCCCTGGTCATTTCATTTACGGATGAACAGTATCTCTCGCCTTTTGACCATGGCGATTGAATGCTTCGCACAAAAGTCTCGTCACGCGCTAGCGCTGACTCGGCAGGACCGTCGCATTGTGAAAGGGGTGGGCTATCCTTTCAATATTCAGGCCGGGGTCTTCTACTTGCGACTAGGAGTCAATCTTCAGCTACGTCGGCTCTGGCATATATTATCGGGACGCCCCTTCTCTCTCACTCTCCACTGACCCAAGCATTAAAACCAATAGCCAACAGTTGTTCTTTACCGTCCCACCGGACTACATTGTGACTACCACGACATAAAATCGTTTTTTTCTTGTCCACACTCTTTAATCCGCAATATACATCTTTTTTCGTCTTATCCTAGGACCTCGGTACTGGCGCTTCTACGTTTTGAACTCTGCTCGAGGCACTTAGCTCTATCACTTCTATAATTTTGAGAAATTACATGTCCTAAACGAAAGCTATCGCAGCTTCATGCCCGCGCCGAAAGCGCTACTATTTATCTCCCGGTTTGTCATTGCTCCATCGGGTGAGACTGAGCTTTTCTGACTTCCACTAGGCCCATGGCTCGTGAGGCTAGAAACACGTAAGAGATTCTATCACAATCTACACCAAGGACTAAACTACGTTTCATGCTGCCAAACTTCGGTTGAAAATTTATTTGATTTCGACACTTTTTCTTCGTGTCATCATCGCAAGACGAGCAATATGGTATCTATATACGATATCTTCAAAATATTCGCCAATAGTCAACTGTGTTCGACAGTCGTGCGTCTTGCAAATCGAACAACGCTCGTGTATCTTTCAAGACTTATACGACTTTACAAGGCCCGAAACGATGATATCAACAACCAACAACCCGAAGCTGCGAGTCTTTAATCTCATTCATCGGAAGGCTTGTTGCCAATGATCACGAACTCTATCAGGTACAATTTAGCCCTGTTGTTTCCCAATAGGCCACCCTACTCCTACTGACAACCTGCCTTATCTCCCTGAGGGTTTCGATATTCGCCTTTGCATGGGACACAGACCTTTCGTACCTGTAAGGCGAGAGAGAAAGGGGCACGCAATGCACAGATGTCTCGCCTTTTTGAGGATATATCATATGCGGATACCCCAGAGATGTTCAGCCCCGCAAATATTCCTATTATTTTACTCAGCATGGCTAAGATTCATCGCCACCGACGCGTTTATCAAGTTTGCATTCCCATGGCCCCATCCAATGTGAATCGCTCTGTTTCCTCGAAAGATACAGAGAAGGTGCGGTGAGGTTTCAGTGCGAGCGTCACCCTTTTAGAAATCTTTCATGAAGATAATACTCATTACCACTTCTGAAAGCAAGTCAGACGCCACTGCGGCAATAATAACTATTCTGATAATCTTCTCCGTTTCTCGCCTCCCTTTCTGAGTACGCAAGTAGATTGCGCAAATACTATACGCCCGGTTTTGGCGGTGCGAACACCAGCGGCATCTGTTGCTTTTAATCAAATCGGTCCACATTTGAACGTTTTTCGCCGTCCGACATCACCGAAAGACGCTCAGCATCAGCGGTTTGCTGATGTTAAGCATGCAGGTCTCTGCATCCTTGCTTTCTATTTCGGCGCCTGGTTGGGGCTAGCGCATTCTTGAAGCTGGTGAGTACTTTCAGTCGAGCGATTATTAATACTTACCAATTCTTTGAATTCGAGACTAAAGATCGACAGAGGTTGTTAGGGTTTGGTCTTTTGTTTTGGTAATATGATCATTTCATGCTCCTGCCTTGTCAGTCATTACATTCCTCGGTCGTGGGATTGACCGCAAGTGTGACCAAGTGCAATAGATTGCCGTTCACTTTGCTTTTGGGGATATTTGACACCTAGAGTCCGCATTGGCAAACGCACGGAGGATATGTTTGCATGCTCCTACTAGGAAGTGGTTTGCTCAAATAAATTAAGCTTAATACTATACACATTTTCACATAATACAACTGTCTTCCTTATCTAATAATCAGCTTGTATGAATACCGATAATCCTCTACTTAAGAATACGAAGTGTCATGTGAATTTCATACAAGCGTTGGCGGTGCGTAAGCCACTACTGTACCTTGAACTATGCGCGTGACCGTTAAAAATCTACAAGGACATCTCAGTTTCTGACAAAAAGCTCAACGAGTGCTTCAAAATATTCCTATAATGAAGCGTTTGATGTTCCGCTTTTGTCGCAGCTTAACCGATAAGCTCTCCATTCTTAAAGTTATTAGGCTATTCTAATGACATACACTCGGTCGTCTACACGGACAATTTGAGATGAGTTTGGTGGAAGCTTGAGATCTACAGGTAACGGTATGGGCCGCATCGGAAAATCAAAAAGCTGCTGCGAAAGTGAGGCTCCAGTTCACTGCCACGGTCGAAAGCAAGTTTCTAATACTGCATGTGTTGTTTGAAAGGCTAAAAACTGGCCCGAGCGTCCTGCTGGCGCTCTTTTGGGTGCTACAGGACTGACACATTTGGTGACATGTGGAATGAACACACGCAAATTGTGATTTGTATTAAAAAGGAGACGCAACTATTTGATTGACTTCTATGGCTGCCACGTCAAGCTGGTCAACTCTCAGTAACTGCAATGTTTCTTGCTCTCTTGTCCCAACCAATCTTGTTGTTGTACAATAGCTCAATAAGATTTGGATACGAAAGGATTACACACTGCAGATTTTCAAACCCGATATCGGGGTGAAAAGCCTCATACACTAAGCAAGAATTAGTGCGCTTGTTTATACCAAATTCGCAACTTCTAGAAGAAACGAAGCAGCTACTTTTGCTGTCTCAGCAGTCTCATCAACCGCCTCACCTGTCCCCTCACGACTATGCATTGGTTGATTATCTTTTTTAGCAAAGAGGCGGAAATGCGTTTCAAGTGAGCTTGAAATCTGTGCTGCATCCACGATGACATTAATTTTGGAACTGTCGATGATCAGGGTCGATTTTTACTATCACAACCAAAACCGCAATAAAAGCTGTCGAATATATGTTTCATAATTGCGTGTAAGCACCATGTGTGGAGTCAGACGACTGTATGTTAGACATTGATGCTCTCAAGGCTTGCATTTTTCTTGTACGAGGTGGTGAGTTCTTAAAGTAAACCTGGTAAGACGAACAAATAGAATAAAATCCCTACTTGCTCTAGAATTTATGTGCAAACTATCATTTCTGTTACCTGTCTACCTTTCTCGTTTCCCATGCAGATTTTAAGTACAAGTTACAAAGAAGCAGATGCCAGCATTTCTGTCTCCTTTACGACCGTTGCGCCGTGAAGTAACACCCGCTCATAATCGGATGGCATTACCCGCATGAACTTGTACTTTGAAGAGTTCCAATTTTCCAACACCTTTTGAGCCTTTGGCGATTGTGTGCGCTCAAAGTGCTTGACGATAAGAGCTTTGACCTCCTCGATCTCAGCATCTCCTGCCGTTTCAATGAGCGGCGCCACGCCAACCATGCCCATGTTGCACTGTTTTTGGAAAGTTTTGTCCTCGTCAAAGACATAAGCGATACCACCAGACATGCCAGCTGCAAAGTTGCGTCCGGTGGAGCCTAGAATAACTACGCGACCGCCCGTCATGTACTCGCACCCGTGGTCACCGACACCCTCAACGACAGCTTTTACGCCAGAGTTGCGAACGCAGAAGCGCTCACCTGCTTTGCCCGAGAAAAATGCCTCGCCGCTGGTGGCGCCGTACAATACAGCGTTGCCGACAATCACGTTTTCTGGGTTGCCACGCTCGGTAAACTCTGAACTCGGATATACTGCGACCTCGCCGCCGGACAATGCTTTACCAACGTAGTCGTTCGAATCACCTTCTAAGTCAAGTCGAATTCCCTTGGCCAGACCGAACGCCAGACTCTGGCCGCCGTGGCCCTTGAGTTTTAAGTGAATCGTTCCGTTTGGTAAACCGTTTTCGCCGTAACGCTTGCAAATCTCGTGCGACAATGTTGCACCAAGCGTACGGTCTAGGTTTGACACGGTGTCTTCGATGACCACTGGCGTTTTGTCTTCAAGAGCATTCTTGGCCTTTTCAATTAAGCGCATGTCAATGCACTTCTCTACTACGTGGTCCTGCTCGATCTCTTTTTTTACTCCTGCACCCTCGTTCAGCGAGCTGGCGTTGATCAAAAGTGGAGATAAATCTAGTTTGCGACTCTTGTAGTGTAGAGCGTCTTGATTGACTTTGAGAAGATCCGCGCGTCCAATTAAATCGTCGAGCTTGCAGAATCCGAGACGGCGCATGTAGTCGCGTACCTCTTCTGCGAGCATAAACATAAAATTCACTACATGCTCGGGTTGACCTTGAAATTTCTTACGAAGCTCTGGATCTTGTGTGGCAATACCAACGGGACACGTATTCAGATGGCACTTGCGCATCATTATGCAACCAAGGGCAATAAGCGGACCAGTTGCGAAACCGAATTCCTCGGCACCAAGCAAAGCAGCTATCATCACGTCACGGCCAGTCTTCAGCTGCCCGTCAGTCTGCAACTTTACGCGGGAACGAAGGTTATTCAGCACAAGCGTCTGCTGCGTCTCTGCAAGTCCTAACTCCCACGGAAGTCCACCATTTTTGACTCCAGTCCACGACGAGGCACCGGTTCCACCATCGTGACCAGATACGGTAATGTGGTCCGATTTTGCTTTGGCAACACCAGCTGCAACCACACCGACACCGACTTCTGAAACAAGCTTAACAGAAACTTCAGCAGACGGATTTGAATGTTTGAGGTCGTGAATCAACTGAGCTAGATCCTCAATTGAGTAAATATCGTGGTGGGGCGGAGGCGAAATCAGGCCTACGCCGGGGGTAGTATGGCGCATCGAGCCAATGTAATCGCTTACCTTGTGGCCAGGTAACTCACCGCCTTCACCAGGCTTCGCACCCTGCGCCATTTTGATTTGTAGCTGATCGGCATTAGTCAAATAGTTCATTGTGACACCGAAACGTCCTGAAGCTACTTGTTTAATGGCCGAGCGACGAGGATTCGGTGGCTCTCCAGGCTTTGAAAAACGTTTGACGTCTTCGCCACCCTCACCAGTGTTGCTACGTCCACCAATACTGTTCATTGCAATCGCCAGTGCTTCGTGCGTTTCTTGAGAAATACTGCCCAAACTCATAGCACCAGTATTGAAACGCTTTACAATTTCTGCAACACTTTCCATCTCGTCAATTTTGGGCATTTTGTCTTCCTCGACAAATTTGAAATCCAAAAGGCCACGCAAATTCACGCGCTTGCACAGAGCGTTTGTCTCCTCGACGTACTGCGCATAAGCCTCACGTGAGTTTTCCCGCGCAGCTCGCTGTAGAGCCACAATATTTTTGGGTGAATTGTAGTGGATCTCAGAGTCATTCCGAAAGTGATAACTGCCAGGGTTGCGAATCAATGGTAGCATGTCCGAGTGCAGCGGGTATCCAGCTTCATGAAAACGTGAGATATCTGTGTACAAGGCTTCAAAGTCTGTACCCTGAATACGCGAGTTGGTACCTTCGAAACACATGCTAATGATGTCATCGCCGAGACCCACAGCTTCAAATACCTGCGCGCCCTTGTACGACTGGAGCGTGGATATGCCCATTTTGGACATAACCTTCAAAATGCCTTTGCCTACCGCGGCACGGTATTTGTCAAAGACTTCTGCATTCGACATCGTTTTCTTCGAATGTGCATACAGAAGACCTTCGTCATTCATCTTGTTCAGCGCCATCTCAGCCATGTGAGGATTAATAGCGTCTGCGCCGAATCCCAATAAAGTGCAAATGTCATGTACCTCCTTAGCATCACCACACTCTGTAAACAAAGCGACACTTGTACGCTGCTGTGTGCGTAACAAATGCTGATGTACAGCACCAACCGCGAGCAGTGACGGCACGGGGTAGCGATTAACACCAGCAAGTTTGTCCGACAGCACAATAATTGGGGCCTTTTCATTTACAAGTGCGTCAGTAGCTTGTTCGCAGAGACGGTAAAGAGCTTCTACAAGACCGCGCGCACCACTGCCTGCAGCAAACGTAGCGTCCAATACTTTTGGCGTCCAGTCGGAATTATTTGTGCTCTTCAGCGCGTTCATTTCAGCGTTCGACATCACCGGGTCCTCCACCATAAGACGCTTGGCGTGTTCGGCAGTGGCGTCAAGAACATTGGCAGCAGGACCGACGGGACACATAAGACTCATGACTAATTCTTCACGAATCGGATCAATTGGTGGATTCGTCACTTGCGCAAACAATTGCTTGAAATACTCAAACGGCAGCTTTGGCTGCTCCGACAAAACAGCCAGCGGCGCGTCATTGCCCATACTACCCAACGCCTCCTTTCCAGTGATGCCCATCGGCATCATCAATAAGTCCATCGTTTCCGTTGTAAAGCCAAACATGTTTAAACGGCGATTCAGCTCGGCGTAATTTCGCTGGCGCTTCTGTTGTGGCATGTTTTCTTTTTTAATAGCAGTTAAATCTGAAAGTGAAACAAGATTCTCATCAAGCCACCGTTTAAACGGACGACTTTCGCTTACAGTTCTCTTCACCTCGTCATCGGACACAATCAATCCACGTTCAAAATCCACCAAGAACATCTTACCAGGTTCAAGACGACGTTTATACTTGATGTCTTTTTCTGGTAGATTCTCCAACACCCCAATCTCACTCGATAGAAGAACATGATCGTCTTTTGTGACGTAGTATCGGCTTGGGCGTAGACCGTTGCGATCCAGAGTAGCACCAATGTACTTACCATCTGTAAAAGCCATCATGGCAGGTCCGTCCCACGGCTCCATCAGCAGCGACTGATATTTGTACATGTCCTTCTTGTGTGGAGCAACTAACGGATCGTTCTGCCAGGCCTCAGGAATCATCATCATCATACCTTCAGGCAGTGATCGATTGCAGGAGCTGGCCTTTGTAAGAATTTCCAGTACCGCGTCGAAATTCCCAGAGTCCGACTTAGTATCAGAACATACCGGCAGCAAATCCGACGTGCGATTGCCAAAGTACGAGCTGTGCAACGTGCCACCACGAGCATACATCCAATTTTTATTGCCGCGTAAAGTGTTAATTTCACCATTGTGACACATTATACGATTGGGCTGCGCTCGATCCCAAGAGGGGAATGTGTTTGTTGAGAAACGTGAGTGCACAAGTGCCACGTACGACGTGAAATCGTTTGCAGAAAGATCGTCGTAGTACTCAAATAGTTGCTCGGGTGTAAGCTGACCCTTATACGTGATTGTACGATTACTCAAAGAGTTAACGTAAAAGTCCGAATACTTCTTCTCGTTGATAGATGTGACAACACTGCGAAGCCGCAAAAGCTCCTTCTCGAAATCGTCGCCCGATAGCGTTGGATTCTCGTGAAGTACCATCACCTGTTCAACATGGGGCTCAGAAGCAAGAGATGTGGCTCCTAGAGTATCACATGTCGTGGGTGTCACTCTCCAGCCCACAACCTTCAAACCCATGGCGCCAGCGATATCATCAAACGTCTTCTTAGCCAATGGAATATCATTAGGAGCGCTCTTGTTAAAAAAAACATTACCCACGGCATACTTTTCCTTTTCAAGGTTTAGAAGCTTTGCAGCGGGACCAAATTCGCCGTTTTTAGCCACTCGCTGGATAAATTCGTGTGGCAGTGCGACTAACATTCCAGCGCCATCACCAGATGCGGGATCGCAGCCGCAACCGCCGCGATGGGACATACGCACAAGCATTTCATTAGCCTTTACGACTGTCGATCGTGATGAATTCTTCTTTAAGCTAGCAATCATTCCAACACCACAACTGTCCTTTTCTTCAAGCTTGCGATATAGTCCCTTTTGTTGAAAAATTGCGCGCTTATCAGCGCCTTTGCCAGGAATAGCACGGAAGCCGCGCACATCATGTGGACGGCGTGTTTTTAGTGCCGGGAGGCGATTTAAAAGGGTAGAAGACGACGATAGAAACGCAGTGCGGTGGTGGATGCGGAACATACCAACCTAAATTGAATGTGACCGAGGTAAGATGTGAAATGGTCAAAAGTTTTATGTGCGATATTGTGTATTAAGTGAAGGTGGTGGTGGAGACTTTGCCAGAATTAGAAATAGATACTTAGTTGTGAAGAATGTCAATACAGTATTAATCGATATTGTCAATTTTAGCTTTTTATCTTACTTTCGGTGCGCACCATTAACTTAGAACTAGTTCTCAACCCAAAATTACAGCAATAGAGCAATTACGGTCAGAAGACTTTCATGACTTCACTTCGACACGACTTGTGCCAAACAATTAGAAATTCCAAGGATTGAATATGTGACGTCTAAGCCCATTCCGTATTGCGCCAACCGCAAACAGATGTCGGTACGACTGTTACAGTACTACAACAGTTGAAGCGTAGAGATGCTATACCGCTTGAACTTAGTGTGGATTAACTCGAATGTTGGTAAAGCATAGACAATAAGCTGGTTATTGCAGCGATAAATAAATGACACAGATAGCTGGAAATTTTGCTTGTCTTTGGAACGAAGTGTGTACCCTTGCATTCCGTCATAGTGACTAGGCTCACAGCTTGTGCTATTCAGCTCACAATCAGAGCTCCACCTTGTCTATGGCGTTGCGCTGTCACGGTAAGTTGCAGTTCAAACGCCTTGCGCCTCGTCTATCGAGCTGCCGATTGATAAACGACAGGTTCAAGTTGCAGCAGCTAGAAACAAGGCGATCGTGCCGCCGAGCCTCGAAGCTAAACATACTGGCACGTGCCAATGTTCACCGTCAGATTACCCGACAAATTGTACGTACGAGGATGTGCGCCGGTTAATGTGAACCGTCGCGCTGTGAAAAGGCGTATCCTAAGATCCGCCTCGCAAATCTAGTCAATACAGAAGCTAAAGACTTAAAAGTGACAATGTTTGGCAAGGCTGACGACCCGAATGTAGCAATGGTTTCAGCGCCTGCAATTGAAGGCGTTGACCATAATGGTCTTGTAGTGGGCAAGTGGAAGAACGGACTCTTTGCCAGCTGCTCCAAAAACTGCGTCCCAAACGGTATGTCGATTACGTTATGTCTTCTATCAAAATTAACTTTATACTGCCTGTGTTAGCCGTCACGCCGCTATTATGTCCGGGAATTTCCATGGCGCAGATCTGCTCACGTTTAGGCCTCGCTAATTTCTTTTCGGTTCTGTTTTCGTACCTGTCGGTCGACGGTCTTGTTGTCACAGCAGTGGCAACTAAAATAGATGTAGTGAGCACACTCGCCGTCATTATGGGTGTGCTAGTATGGCTCTTCACTATCCGCATTCGCTTTCGAATGCGCTACCTTTTCTCCATTCCAGGGTCGATATTGGAAGATATCTTCACTTCCGCTTTTTGCTGCTGTTGCTCCATCGCGCAGATGGCTGACCACGCTGAGTCGTTTGAGATCAACACCTTTGCAGTTTTGCCGAGAGCAACGCTGCCGGGTTATACCTTTGGATAAATCTAGGAAGTATTTGAGAGTATGAACGTATAGCAATGAGGCTAGTGAATGATCGACTCCGTTATTAAGATCTCACAAAATATGGTTAGTTTATTAACTCTCTTCGAAGTTAAACAAACATTCATGACGTATTAAACATTGTCCACTATTAGCGAACCCACGAGAGTTAGGGAGACCATCTTTTTATATATGGATCACTGAAGTAACAGAAGTTGAGATGTGGTCACTTGAAAAACGATGCTTGTATGGAATCTGATGGCAAATGTTGAAAAAAGCGATAGAAATACAAGTTGACAGTGCTTTTTTCCATCGACATTCACGGTGATGGAAAGTTATGTGTCATTTCCATGGTGAAATATATACCTAAGTAACCCCACTATATCGAGCAATGCAATTGCCAACAATATACAGCTGATTGGTGATCGACTACATCTTTACGCACAGCGAAGAGCACGTCGTATGACTTTTGTTCAGCACTCATTTTTAAGCAGTCGGCTTTGTTTTAATAACCTTTTGTGATATCAAACTCATGTTAGCAGTAGCAGAGTTTGCTGACAAGATCTTGTGGCCACAAAGGGCTCGTAAAGCCAGGCATGATACTTGAATGAATGTGAGTTTAAGCTGCATTAACGTGAATGAACAAATAATGAGACTTTGGTATATCAAATATTTTTAGATACTAAAATATAACATTTTTTAGTATCTAAAATCTCATTCCACTTGGTTCAATCGTGAAAATTGAAAAATATATCGGTATTCATTCTCTTCTGTTCTTATCTCTTCTCGAGAAGGAATTTGAATACATATTGCAGCGGGGCTACCGTAGCTTTCTTGCTAAGAGGAAGTTAGGCTAAAGTCTGTGACCTTCGTTCTATACTTAGAACCAGTACGAGTGTAGCGAGCACCTTGTGCCGTCGGAAACGGAAGTTGTTGGACTCCGTGCTCAGAACCAGTTGCTGGTTTATTTTCTAGGTGGCCGAGCACCTTTAGGCACCGCCCCGGCACCAACAGTTCCGTGTTCACTTGCGCCTAATCCCGGTACGGCTTCAGTAAGCTCACATAAAATACCGGGTGGGTGCGCATCTTTCTCGGGAAGTTCAGCGTATACACTAGCCCTCGCATTGCCACGACCTTAAAAGATTCATTTAACCGTGGACGGGACTTCATCTTAGCAGAAACCGCATGTATTTGAAGATTTTTAGCATTTGATAAAACCAGATGACCGACCTCAATGTTTCTGACATTTCTTCTTCCTTTTCTGTCTGCATATTTCGTCTGCATGTCTTGGTTTTCAGCCATCATATCGCGAACGTGTCGTAAGACACTCAGTCTAGTAGATAGAAAGTATCCGACTTCTTTACGCACGGTGTAGGGCTGACATCAGCTAGCCGTTCGACTATTCCTCCCCACCAAGCCCTGAGTCATGGGATGGCGGCGTCAGCGGGACGCGAGGATGATCGAGTCCGTTCACGAAGAACCGGGTATATCCGATAGATGAATGCACTGCATTGTTCAGAGCATACTTTACGAGTGGCAACATAGCGCTCCAGCGCTTCGGCGTCTTCGACGACGCGATTCACGCGCTCAGTCTGATCATCGGTCTGCGGACGGTCCGCTGTTGACATAGTCGACTTGGTGTCCAGCATCCTGAAAATTTTTTTTTAGTGAAGTGCGGGTCTCTATCCAAGACAATTGACGCCTGGAGTCCATGTAGTTGAAAGACACGATCGACAAACATCGTCGCTGTACCCACACCGTCGATGGTGTCCGACATAAGCCATCTTGCTCAAACGGTCGACAAAGACAACGACACCCATAATGCCCGCCGAGTCTTTCGTCAGGCCACACAGAAAGCCTATATTCATGGACTGCCGACGCCCGGGGGGTGCCGATAAACTGGCCAGGGCGCCGCCGCATTCGGAGATGGTTTCACCGTTTGACACGTCTTGCACATGCGCACATATGTGCTTGTCTATTTGTACATCTTGGGTCACCAGTAGTGGCAACTCACAGGGCTTTGGGTCTTCCCACGACCAAGATGACGACTGAGTGGGGTCATAGATAATACAGTATTTCAAATCCTCATCGTGAGGACCACAATTTGTGGCCTATCTGTCGAGTCGGTGCTATGATACAGCAACCCGATATTCGACGATTATCGGTGTAGCCTGCGCGCAATCGCGACGACAACTTCTTGTCCGAGTTTCAAAACTTCTCGTCCCCCGAGAGTCTGTAGCAGCGCTACGCACACCGCGTATGCGGCGCGAATCAAATCCATCACTGACGTCGTCACCGTCGTGACATGAGCAAGCTCATAATCCAGTCTGCGTGATAACGCATCAGCCAAAGCATTCTGCGTTCCTAGCTTATACTTTACCTCGAGGTTGTATTCGACGAGGAAAGAGAGCCACCTGACCATCCTCTGCGAGTGGTGAGGTGACTGAGTCGCAGTGCGTAGTGATGCATGATCTGTGTAGATTACAACAGCTTAAAGCCGAGGAGGTGCACTTTGAACTTGACAAGTGCATACTTCACCGCAAGTAATTACTTGTCGTGATCTTCTCCGCAGTCTTGAGCTGGCGAGATTCGATCTTGCCTTTCGGCGTCTGCATGCAGCAGTGCACAGCCGATGGCAAAGTCCGAAGCGTCGCAGACGACACTCAAGGACGATTGCGATCTGGTAACGCCAGTATTGGTGCATGAAGGGGGCTGTCTTTGACCCTGTCAAAAGCCTCTCGATGCTCGATGTCCCAACACAATTCCGTATCCTTCTTCGACAATGGACGTGCCGTTCCCGGAGAATTTGCCCTATACTTGTGCAGGTAGTTGGCGAGGCCAAGCCGCTTGCGCAAGTCTTTTTGTTCTTTTAAAATTGGCCAGTCCACAATGGCCTAAATCTTAGCGGGATCCGCTCGAAGGACACGTTACCCCAGTAAAGCACTCTAAAATGGGAATCTCTTCTGCGCCGAAGATGCACCGATCAGCATTAGCATACAGCTTATTCGTACGCATGCACTCGAGCACCGCTCTCAAATGAACGATGTGGTTTTCCTCATCTTTCCTTCCGTGTACCGCACAACTGTAGACGACGATGTCGTTGAAGTATGTCTGTGTATATGCCCATCGGGGCCTGAACGATTGCGTTACCAGACGATTAAATGTTGCTGGTGCATTTGACAGCCCTTGAGGCACCACCAGCCACTCACAGAGCATCCCGCTCGGATGCTCCGCGCTGTCAACCGAATATCGCTCGCTCTCATTAGCAATTGGTAATATCCATCGACCAAGTCGAGTGCGCTGTACTTTATATAGTCGTCCATATGGTTCCGGAGAACATCCTTCCTAGAAATCAGCGTTCGTGCCGAAATAGTGGCAGCGTATAGCTAATTATAAGCGTGAACGATACGCCGCTAGCCGTTCAGCTTCCGGACACAAAAAATTGGTGTCGAATGGGGAGACTTACTCTCACGCATCATTCCTGCGTCGTGTTTTGCACGGAAAAAGGCGTCAATGACGTCGCACTGCTCATTGGGCAAGGTTCATTGGCGTGTTACGCAGTATTTGGTTTCCGGAATCAGGTCAATCTAATGACGCACACCTCGGTTCGGAGGTAGGCTCGACTGTGGGTCTCTGGAGACGACCTCATGGACAGCTTCATTTAGAAATGACGATGAGTTGATCTCCTCTTCCGGTCGTATAATGACCACTGTGGCTAAGTCGCCTGCCTTCAAAGCACCGCCAAACGTTTCGAGTGATATCTCGTCCAACTCAAGAAAAGAATTCACCGCGGAAATAGCCTCGAGGCTTATGTCGCCATCTTCCCACCCCGTCATACCGTTGACGAGGGTGTAAAGCTGTGCGCTATTGGCTACCTTTGACACATCCTGGGTCGGGGTTGACGTCCAACGTCTTGCAGCAAACATATGGCGTCGCTGTCGCCTCCTCATAGATGCTTTACGTCACATCGAGACCAGTGTAAACACGCACTCAGCATCGTCCAGCGTCTCGATCTACTGCTCCACCGGAGTCTCGATGTTATTAACAACATCCGACGAAGAGCTGCAAGCTCTGAAGTCTTTGTCCAGTGGATAACGTACCACTTCACGCGCATCTGAAGGGCCTTGCATCTGAAGGGCCTTGCATCCGACTGGCCTTGCCTTGGACCTCGTCCGACCATGCCACGAGTGGCATGCTACGACAACTTTGAAACGTGAGCAGTGCTCACAGGATTACGTGCCACTGCAAGTGCATCGCTAGGGCCTCGCCCTCGATGCCTCGGACCTCGTCCGACCACGCCACTCGTGGCATGCCGCAACTAACTCGATACTTGAGTGGTTACGTGCCACCACGTGCATCCCTGGGGCCTTGCCTCGCGGCCCCTGGTTGACTTTGCCGCGCATGGCATGCAGCAGCGCTCAATGGGTCACGTACCACTCCACGCTCAGCACGCGCGCCATGCTCGGGAACCCTGTCCGACACACCTTCGGTGTTCGACAACTCGGATACTCCAACCTCCAGCTCGCTGGTCTTTTCGGTCCAGTGCCCAAGCCAATGGTATTACTGCTCCCAGTATAAGTGGGTTTCTAAATCACCAAAGCTCCACCGGGAGACGTGCGCGTAGCACCCAACGTCTTCGACCTCCAGACGTTCCATGGCTCATGATGTTCGAACTATGCCATACCAAAGATGAGGTCAAACATTGAATGCAAGTCTAAGACTAAGCAGCGTTTTACGCTATCAAAGTAAAATAAAACTTGACACCGAGGAACACAGGGACCTTCGGTAACGTGACACGTGTCCCCGTCGCTAAGCAAACAGTGACGATGTCACTCAACCGCGCTTTCAGCGCCTCGGCATGCAGTTGACTTTCTTTTATCGCAAAGCGTCTAGCAGAATTGCCCGACGCTCCAGAATCAATCAAGATCTTCTGTGGCTTTTCAAAGCCTTTCACGGTCGCTTTTACGACCAGCAAGACACACGTCCCGTGTTTAAGAGCATGTAGCTTTTCGGAGCTGGACCCTGCTGACCTCTACCTCGTTAATGCTCAATAGAACTTAATTCTCCCCCAGTAGATCGTCTCGCGTCTACTGGGTGTTGTCGTTTCCCCGTGACAAACTAGAAAACTGGTGAGAAGCGTGACGTTGGTTCGATGAACCTTGACATGCCTTGCGCAGAAAAAAACAGTCCGAAGATGTCGAGTGTCTTCACAGACAAAACAACGTCGAGTGTTCGAGCGCTGCCCGGCAGCTCAAAGCTCTCCCTTCTCTTTTTTAGCATAGCTGAGATCCATCAGCTCAAGCCCGCCCGACGAGCTACTAAAGTGTGCATTTCGACCAAGTCGTGCTGACTCAAGTTGAATTCGGCATTCAATGCCATATTCACTATATCTTCAAAAGAAGACGGTTGCACACGGAAGACTTTCATTCCAGCCACACCAGTGCGGAGGATCTCTATAAAGACGGTCCCTGTGACTACCTCAGGGAGAGAATGACGGCTCTCAACTTTTAAGAAAGTCCATCAATTCCTTCTTACCCTGTCGGGTGGCAGGTAAAAGCGATTGCTCTCGACGCCGACATCTTCTGCTCTAGGTGCTCGAGCGAGGTATTTTCCTTGCCATAAAACGCCTTCAGGCGCGTGCTGATCGCTTCACGTCTTTGTGAAGCGGTGCTGTATGCCCTCAGGGCCAAGCAGAAACATCAGCGTTTTTACCCGTCCTGCATGCCCTGAAGCATATAGAGGAACGGCTCCATCCTTACAGAGAATCGGTCGTAACGACTTAAGATTAGACTGACTACAAGTGCTACCAAGTGCTGCGGGTTTGCCATAGCTCTTCTGTTTAGAAGAAGCTAAATTAAGGTCGGCGACCTCGTTCGGTACTTAGAACCAGTACGAGTGTAGCGGATCGCAATTCGCTTACTTCAAAAATAACCACAACCTACACCCGGGGCATATACTCTCTTCCGCTTAAAAATGTAAACTGTATTTTTGGGTTTTATCTGCGGTAAAGCCGCCTTTATCTAAATTATAGATAATTAAATTGTAAAACTTAAATAAAATGCATAACTACCGGCAGTTTATCTACGTACTGACTTCTTCTAAAGGCGTAGCCACACCATTGTGGAACTACACCGACTTGTGTAACCCACACCGTTGTATGGTCACACCATCTTGTGTGACCCACCCTTCATGCCAGAGCACGTGTGAATCAGGAAACTGGCGGTCAAAGAGTAAAAGGCGGTAATTGTACGCCTGGAGATGCTCATCAACTTTGAAAATGCGCTGGTAAGGCACAACTAGGATCACACTAAACGGGCGTCGGTGGAGGATCAGACCGTTCCCATCATGAGGCTGCAGATTTTAAGCGTCCAGGTCTATGAGGGTCAGGACAGAGAAAGTCTTTTTTTACAGAGCGACATTAAGTCGTGCTTCAATTTCTAAGGTATAAGGCATCACGATTTGACGTGCAGTACCTCATTACAAGAGGTACTCCAATTTCGGGCAATTTGAAGCGATAAATGTTGTGATTGTTTGCGCCACCTAACCACACGTATAGGGTGTGTGGGGAGCTCTTGACAGCCCATCAAGGAAGGCAAAACCTGGCAAATTCTGTGTAAGCGTCGAGAAATCTATCGCCGCGACGGTGTCTGACCACCTTACGGAGGGAGTAACAGCTGCCATCTTGATGGTGTGTCTTCGAACAGATTCGACACGCACAGATACCTTGCGCGCTCGCTCCACATCTTCAAAAAAAAGCAGTTAACTACGTATCCAATGCAGAAAACAACTTCCGTGCCGCTAGTATCAACGACTGCTTATACGAGCCAGTGGTGCAACCTTACTGTAACGATCGCTACGAGCGGGGATTGCTATTCTCCAAGGCCGCATCATGCATACATAAAGACCTATGTTGACTATGAGCTCGTCCATAGCCGTTCCGAGCATGAGAACATATGTTTTGATATCCACATCAAGCTCTTGTGAGAAAGCTTGAGTGTCTGTTTTTGGATAAGATGTTCGAAAAAAGACAAATGTATCAATTGCGCCGACAAAATCCCCTTTCTATGATAAAACATTGAGAAGCGAGCAGATTCCGCAAAGTGTACAAGTGTCGTGAATTGTCCTGACAAGCTACTATCACAAGTGTAGCGCAGTTTAACAACAATATCCCAATCAATTTTGGTGTACTGGGGTGCGGGTGTACAATAGAAGCTGCGGACTTCAACGTATACCCCCACTCTGGCGCTGCTGAACCCGTATCAGTACGCTTCGGTCTTTGTCATCACTGTAATTTATTTTATGCTAATGCAAATAGGCATGAACGCGTCATTGTTCTTAGGTTTCGCCATCATAATGTGGCAAAAACGAATCATCATATTCTTGATCGAATTTATGTGATTTGAAGTATGTTCTTGTAAAATAAGAATTTCACCTGCCAGGCGTCTTTTGTCTTTTGCGATTCATAACAAGATGCTTATTCTTGATACCTTCCATGTATGGTACAGGCTAATTCGGCTTTAAATTGTGATGGATACCTCCACGTCGACCCGACTGCGAGCATTCGCATGCCACAATCCTGACGTCGCGCATCGATGAGATTGTAGTAGTCAGACGCAGCATATAATTAGCTGTTAAAAAGCTTTGCAGATCAGGAAGTTTACCATTGCTTTAACAAAGCGTGTGGATGTGCATCTGAACCGCTATCCTTTGTCCAGAATATTGCTGGTTTACAGCGGTGACCAACTCAAAATTCATTATATGATAAAGCCTCATGATAAGGACATCCAGTACAGAATACTCTACGATGTGCATGATGCCCAATTAATGGCCATCTCGGTAGATAATAGAGTGAGCGTTACGCTATGATATGCACTGTTAGCTAAACATATACATTTGTAATGTTTTTCGGCTCCTACATAATCTCGGCAGTCCAGATAGCATGGATTGAATGCTCAGTCTCTTGAGAGATGCGTTCGGCAATATAGGTATTGTGGTCTTTGTGGACCATCTATGCAAAATAAGTATACCGCTGTTGTCAGTAATATTGTCAATGATAAGGATACAACCAGCTTTTTCCTCGACAGAATCTATCGCCAACTTGTCTTGCCGGTCCGCATTGTTTCGAATCTCAATCCGCAGTTTACAACAAAGTATGGCAGACTTTGATCAGGGTGCTGATCACCAGAATGACCATGTCCACTACTACGATGGTCAGACAGAATGCGCGTTTTGTGTGGTTGTGGGCGTATTTCAAAATTCTCACGCGGCAAATTCGCGATTTTGTAGCAGAATGCTTTTGTGCATTTAATTTGTGATAGAAAACTCAGCGCACGCCTCATTAGACCTTACCCAGTTTGCTGGGCGCTAAACGTGGAGCGTAGAGTGCGTTAGCAAGCTTACCAGGTTTACAATATTTATCTAAAATAGTACAATGTATATAATTTGCCCAGATTTCATGAAGCTCGCTGTCCCCGCTTCGGCTAGATTGCCCTGTTGCTGCTGCCACTTTGACTTGTATGAGCTTGGAGCGACATATCAGTTTCACCTACTAAGCGTATTCATTCAGGTGTTCAGTGCTACTGTTGCTAGTGCTACGAACCAGAAGTTCATTCCGCACCAAAACTACGTATGTATCAAACTGCTGTCAATTTTGGCGCAAGCGGAAATTCTAAGGTGTGGTAATCTGACGGGTCAACAAGTGCTCTCATCCCCAGCGTACGTGGAGATCTATGTTGGAGCTAAAGCCAACCCGTAGAGGGTTTGATGACCCAAGCGCAGCACGGCTGGGTATTATCGATGTATCAAATCCATAAGCGCGAGTGACTGCAATTAGATCAGTTGCAACTAGCTTGTATGCTGGGCCGGATGTTGCTCACTCGTACTGAGACGAATCTCGTCGTGGGGCTTGCAGCAAAATGTCGATACACGTTCCGTCGTGGAGAGCGGGCATGAAGTGTGCAGCTTGCTGAAGTATGGCGAAGCGAGTAATACGCTTTATCTTCGGAATTGTCTCTATAGGCAAAAATCGATGTGTGCATATTTAGCTTGTTTCTGGGTTCGAAGTCGAAGAATCGCTTTGGCCACTCTTATTGAAAAGCTGCACCACCATATTAGACTGGAAGTCGTCGGCCGGGATCCGCACTGACCGCTTATCTATGTGCCGTAACGAGCAAGCTGGGATAGAGGCTTCTGAGGTTGACAATGCTTGGGAGAGTTTACAAGTATATGGAGGGAAGGAGGCGAACTCCCGACGCAGTTATTTCTGGTTGATCTTTCACTCTGCGGACTTTTGCTATCAAGGAATGATCATCACCTCAAGGAGGATTTCTATATCGGAGAAAGATATGTAACCGTCTGTGTGTAGACGGGTCGCTGATCCCTCAGTGCCAGTAACCCGGAGATCCATGAGCTTCATTCGTTGGAGTGGGAGTCAAGGATCGACTTCATGTATTTCCTAATTATGGTCTAACTGCTGTTGTGTTGCGAATTCAAAAAGAAGCTCAAAACAACCAAATTAATGCTCTTTAATGAGTAACCATGACTCGTACATGGTACATATAAGAATGATGGGACTCCCTCAAGATGAGATCCCATGCTGCACTCACATTCATCAGCATTATTTTTGCTTTCAAATATATCTCGCCAAAAAAATAGAGTAAATTCTATACTAAAAATCGCTTCGGAGTGGAGCGTACAAATCCACCCTCTGTGTTTATCAACGCGGAGTCATTTAGTCAAAGCTTCTTTCGTGCAAGAAGCACAGCAATTCGGTTGACTTCCGTGCTTCCTAGTATTAGTTTCATGTTCTTACGTGATTTCGTGATGTGCAGATTTTGCAATTTTCTAGATTAAAGTAGTTTTTGGATTGAGGGTATTATACCTGACATATTGCAAAAAAATAATCTAAAAATGTTAATTTAGAGCTGTGTTAAGTCATCTAATTCCACAAAGAGTGCAGTGATGACTGTGAAGGTTGGCGACATTGTCCTGGCTTACCATGGGGTCATGATTTATGACGCAAAGGTCCAAAAGGTGGACAACGGTCAGGGTGTGCAAGAGACGACAGTTGCTAAAAATCAAGTGTCATCAAACACACAGTATTATCTGCACTACCAAGGCTGGGCCAAGAAATGGGATGAGTGGGTCCGTCATGACCGAGTGTTAGAAGATACACCAGCCAATCGCGCACTGCAGAAGAAAGCAAAAGAAGATTTAGCTAAGGCGAAGACGAATAAGCGCTCGGCTAAACGAAAGAAGATCAGCTCGGCTGGCGTTGATACGCCCAGTACTCGTAAATCTCCATTTAAGCGCTTAAAGCGCAGTACAGACGGTGAGTTCGAGGAGTATCCAGGACCTACCGAAGGATTAGCTGAGGAGCGATCGTCTACAAAACAAGTGAATATTCAAATGCCATTTTCGCTTAAGAAACAGCTTGTGGAAGATTGGAAGAATGTGACCCACGTACCGCACAAGCTTGTGCCTTTGCCCAGAAAGCCAAACGTGAGTCAGATCATCCAGACATATCTGACATTTAAAAAAAGTAAAGTGCGTGAAGGTGATGCAAATGATGAAAAGGAATATAAGAATGTTGAAGGGATCATGGTGGGTGTGCAATCTTACTTTGATCGAGCCTTGAGCTCTATTCTACTCTATCGTATGGAAAGACGTCAATATCAAGAGCTCCAACAAAACGAGAATAAAGACGTTGCATTGTCTCAAATCTATGGAGCTGAACACTTAATTCGACTTTTTGGTACGTGGTGAATCTACTTGAGGTTTTGTACTGGGTTACTCATTACTTGTGTTGGTGTTGTAGTGAGATTACCGGTGCTGTTAGCAAGCGCTAACATCTCTCCGCGTGGACTAAATCAGATCCAAGCGCGTTTGAACGACTTTTTGAAATTTATTCAAAAGAATTCGGCAGCATGGTTTGTCACGGAATACGAAATAGCTTCGGACAAGTACATTGAAAAGGCCAGTGATTTTTCTTAAATGTAATCCATTCGTCTTCATATTTGTAACCATCGTATCCTGAATTTAAAATGGCTACATTCATCGATATTACTATTTAACACATTCTTGACCATGACGATTTCTTGGCTTATCTCCACGCTCCTGTACGCGGTTACTAGCTGGCAGATGTGGAGTTTGGGTGTAATTATGTTCTACACTGCGTTTCAACTTCATTTCTTACCTGAAAGACTAGCTAGAGTCGCAGCTCGTCTGTATTTCTATCCCACATGGCCACTCACATATCTCTCACGACGAAAAAATTATTGGACGTTAGTAGACTCTCATGTCTTTGTCGGAGCAGCTCCAATGTCTTTCATGCCTCATGTAGATGCTCTAGTGTCTCGTGGGGTTCGTGCGGTAATCAACTTGTGTGACGAGTACGCAGGACCTGAGAAACAGTATAGACGTCACCACATCCAGCAGCTTCGTTTACCAACTGTAGACCATTCCGAGCCATCGTTAGCAGCGTTGGAAGAGGCTGTAGCGTTCATTAAATCTCAAAAGCAGCAAGGAGTAAGAACTTACGTGCATTGTAAAGGAGGAACTGGACGTAGTGCTGCTGTGGTTTTGTGTTGGTTAGTCGCAAGTCGAGAGATGACCCCCCGAGAAGCACAGAATTATCTTAACGAGAAACGGCATGTTCGTAAGTTTTTGTACTTGCAACCGAATATTTTGGCGTTCTGTAACAAGCTTCTCATGAATAAGAGAAGTATAAAGGAGAAAAATCGGAAGTTCTCATCACATGAAGAAGCAAAATCAATGTGAACATCACACAGTCTGTTGTTTCTTTATCGATCTTTCCACTTTCAGTTTGAATGTCTTCTGTCTTCACTATAAATGATACGACTTTTAAATCCAATGGCAAAAGTACATTTACATTGACTTCGTGTACTCTTGTTCGACGCACACATGATTAAAGTTATTTGAAAGTATATATCACGAAAGACTGGAAACAACTTTATCACCAACACACTTCTATTAATCTTCGTAAAATGTGCCAAATCTGTTATACATCAACTCTCGGTCGTACTTGGAGCGAGCGCAACCATCAGATAGCACGTTGTACGCAGCTGTCATCTCTTTGAACAATTCTGCGTGTGTCGAAGTTTTTGCTTTATCTGCATTAACAAATACACAAACGTTGGATTAGTATTTCGCATCTCAACTGAGCTCATAATCAAGAAATGGACAAACCTGGATGATACACGAGCGCTAGCTTGCGATATGCCTTTCGAATCTCGTCGTCTGACGCTTTCTTCTCGATTCCTAGCACGTCGTAGTGCGTACGACGCTGACTTTTTCGCGCCATGAATGACGATCGCCCGCTGTTATGAGAGGATTGATTCCTACCATTGTCATTAGTGCTCGAGCCATTCCGAAAATTATCTTGGAATCCCCACGACGAGTTTTCCCACCGGTTTGAGCGTCTCTGATGTTCTTCGCGTTGCTCCCGCTCAGCGCGCTTCTTTGCCGCTTCTCGTCGTTTAGCTTCTTCACAAGCTCTAGCAATTGCAGCTTTCGCCTCATTCCGCTCACTACGAACGTCATCCGTGGTGTCAACACGTCTCTCACTAGATTGTTCCTGCAAGTACCGATCAAAATCTTTCACAGCTTCATGATACATCTCCAAAACTGCATGACAACGAGCTCGGCGAAGCAACGCACGAGGGTATTCTGGCTTTCGTTGCAACGCTTCATTACAGTCCAGAATTGCGGTATGATGCCTTTTCAAACCCATTTGAGCAGCAGCACGATTGCAATAAATTATCGCGCAAAACTCTTGATGCTGAGGATCAATCAGTACTGCCTCCGAGTAATAACGTACTGCTTCTTGGTATTCTCCTCGATTAAAGTGTTCATTTCCATTGGACTTTAGCTGTTTCATATCCTGCCATTGCCGCTTAAGTTGAATCACGTGTGAACTGCAAGGAGCCACAGCTTCCAAAGCTTGAAGAACTTGCACAGCCTCGTCAACTTTATCCTGATAATGCAACGTAGTTGCCCACAAAAGGCCCAGATCAATGCCAAGAATAGTGATCTTCTCTATTGTTTCATCATTTGAGATCTTATCACCGCTATGAACGTCACGAGTCATTTTTCGCTGTGTTTCTTGGTGTTTCTCGATAATAAAGTAACAAAACTGAATGAGACTGTCGAGTTTTCTATTAACATCAACACCATTACGCGTGAGTTTAAACCATTCAATAGTAAATTCTTCAAGCTCCTGTATACATACCTTTGACGAAGCAAAATTTGAGCTTTCTGAACCTGTAGCTTCCGACTTCTCGGCGCAAGAGCTAAGGCATTGTCGGTGTGTATGAGAGCTTGATCATGGTCTCCATTGTCGACGTACCACTTGATCTCACTTTGGAGCAGCACCAATTTCTTAATTTTGGCTTCCATCTTAATTAGCGAAGCACGATCTGCTTTATCCCCTGGTTTGACTTCGCTATTATGACCTTCCATCAGTTGTTTCGCAGTACTTAAATTTGCTTGTGCGTTGGCAGTATCGCCAAGTAATACCTGAATTCTTCCTAGTCGAAGGTACGCACTAGCGTATGATTTGTCCACTTCAATCGAACGCCTGCATTCGTGCTGAGCTTCCGTAATTTGCATTAGCATCAGCAAGGATGCCGCTCGATTTGCATGGAGTTTAGCCTTGTCAGTTCGTATTTCGGGCGAATCTTCTACCTCTTCATGATAAAGAAGCGAGTCGAGAACTTCAATACTTTGACGGTAAAACTCAGCAGCATCTTGAAATTCTCTTGCGCAGTGTGCAACATTCCCAAGACGCTTTAACTCTTCCCAGTCACGCTCGTCTTCACTATCCATATTAGCGTCACCTCCCGCACATTTGGTCATACTAGGTGAAGCTGATTGCGTTCGCTCCGTACGTGTTCCAACGTTTCGAAGTGCAGCGCGAAGAATGCGTCGTGGACCAGCAAACGCAGGACGCGTTGTATCTTGATTACGTTTGGATGATTGAGATGATACATTCAGTGCTTCATTCGATAGAGCATTAAAGTCTTGATCGATTGCTCGCTCTTGTGTTCGAAAGACGCCACGAGAACCAACTGAATCAGCACTAACACTTGAAGAAGAGTCAGCGACAGAAGAGAACTTTTTCCACGAAATCGGTTCTGCTGCATTCGATTGAGGCTGATCTTCTTTTGTAAGTGTAAAAGGCTGACAGGTTGTTGTTACAAACGGATCTGCAGGAATATTTCGTCCAGACTGACGAAGACGAGCATTCTTGCGACTGCGTCTTTCGTGCGTACTAAAAGGAAATGGCTCTGCTGGAGATGAGAAAGAAAACCCTGGCGATGGTTCTGGCTCATTCAAGCCGACTTTAGCATCTTTCTTTAGGTTAATTTTATTGCTAAACATTCCAGCCTTCCTGGAACGGATTCGTGCAGTCTGTTTTGTGTCCGAGCAACCAATTTGAAAGTTATTAGAGTTTAAAGTTGACATACTGGCACGCTGCAGATCAGTCAACGGAAAAGTGGCTGTTTCAGCCTGCACTTTTGTCTCTCCAAATTGAAATGGAGTCTGAATAGGATCGCTTTGAAACATATACTGTCCGCTAGAAACGATATTTGACGTTGTTTGACCCAAAGATGTACTAACGAATGTATCTTTGCAAGTCTGGTAGGAAAGAGGATCAAGTGCTTGAGAGGTAACAGCTTTCAAGTCCCCAAATAAAAAGGAGCTGGTAAATGGCTGCGTTGTGGGTATCGCAGAGGTCACTTCTTTAGCGTGAGCAGGTGCTTCAGCTTTTGAAAAGTCAAACACAGCCCCAGAAGGTACAGCTGGTCTTTCCCGAAAGGCTGTTGCTGTCGGCAGAACTGATTTGCCAAATGTCGAAGCTGTTGACAAATTATGTGTTGGTAAAACATTTGCGCAGCTTCCTGAACTTGTACTGCTTATCTTTCTGCGGCGATGCGTAGTTGGCCCAGCAACACCAGTCGTAAACAATACTGACGGATTTGCAGCTTTATTATCAGCATCAACTGTTTCCCTTAATGTCTCATGCATAAATGACTTTGATTTGTCCAAAAATTCGGATGCTGCCATCGCAAAATTTGTAGCTATTCCAATTGAAGAGGTCGTTTCATTCTGCTTTTGCGTGAATGAAGCAAACGAGAGTCGATTCTTATACGCTTGTCCAAACAAAAATTCACCACCACTCGACAATCGTGTAGCAGAATGAGCTCTTGGAGAATTCATATCCGTATCATTTTGCTCTTGAGCACTTCTAACTTTTGTCGAAAAGACGTTGGTATTGCCATGTTCTGCAAACTTATATGGCATTTCAACTTCAGCAAAACCAGGTCCATCACTGATCGGAATATCAGATGCACAAGAAGCACTTGGTACACAAGAGCTTTGAAAGCGCATACTCTTGACAAAATTCTCGTTATCAAACGAACCAAACGGTGACTTGAACGCAGGCTTCTGTTCTGTACAAGTCGTTTCCGATACATTTTCATCCATTGTATTCATTTTAACGCTCACTTTGCCCCCAAACGACATTTTTGACGAGTTTTCGACAACGAAATTTGTAGATTTGTCACTTTGCAATGTAGTATGATGATCTTCGGTATTTAGCGTTGAGAATCTGGGTGAAACACCAGTAAAGTGAGGATGCATTTTAGAAGCTCGTCGACGCACTCGTGGTTTCTTGTCTACGATACCGGGAACAAAAGTTGTTTGAGAACTCCATGTGTTCGTTTCCATATTCCAAAAATTGGCTTTCGATTTCTCCGTCTGCTTCTCTTCTTTCAAATTCTTAGCATTCATTTCTATCTGTATACTACGTCTTTTGAACATATCGTTGTCAAAGGCTGCATTAAGGTCCTTCCAGGCGTAAAAGACCCTACTCTGGTCCTGTTGAGTCACATCAATAACATTGTCTTGCACTGATCTATCAAATGTATCTTGCTTGCCATCATCCTCCATCATCTCCAACTGTTGATCGTCTATTTGTCGATCGGGATCCAAATCATCTGTATCCACAGAGCTCGTGACTGAGCTCGCGTCAGCCAGCGACGACTCGGAAGGCGCGTAGTCTTCGTCGTCTTCGTCACTCTCTGGTGATGGCATGGGATACGAAAGTGAGTCACTTGGGCTCGATGGAATTTCACCAAAGGATGACCATTGACTGCCATCATCAGATCGCACATCGCGGTCTTCGTCAGAGCTCGCAGAGTATTCCACAAGCCGTACCATGACACTAAGCTTGGAAGTAGAAGGGCCTATTCAATAGTGAAACCTTGACTCTAAGAACGTATATCGTCTACTTTGTATATGTGTAAAGTTACACTTGGACTTGTTGTGTTCATAATCAGAAGGATTAATTACTCTATCTTCTGACTATTTAAGAACGCTTAGCTTTCTTACTACTTTTCTTAACGGCCAAATTTGTCCGTCGCTTCGACTTCTCGTTCGTTTCAGATGCTTCGTCCTCGCTCTCAATATCATCCATCGCTTGTCCTTGTCTCCATGCCACGTCTTCTACTGCCTCAACATCAGCGTCGCCACTTTGCCGCACACGCCCCACTTCATTGCCGTGCTCCTTGTCCCAATCCGTAAGTTTAGCGCCCATCATAAAGTCATCTTGGACTACAGACCACGAGCTCTTGGTAGCCACATTTTCTGTAGTCTTGTGTTGTGACGCCTTAAGCAAATCGAGAAAATTATCTTTTGACATTTCCTTGACCTTTTTGTTATTCTTGTCCTCCTGCTTATTAACAAGGTGCTGATGCTTCTCAATCGCGTTAAATAATGCAACCACTACATCAAGATAGCGCATCAATATCAATAACACTTTAAAATGCTGTAATATGTTACTCACCTCCTTTAGTTGCAATCATACGCAACTTACGGTCCTGCACTGCTGTTGTGTGATCAGGCACCACCATGTCCTTCTGCTCACGTTCGCGCTTCTCTGCAGTACTAACTCGTGCTGTTTTCGTCTCTTTCTTCTCAATCTCAATTTCACGCATACGAGCCGTTGTACGCTTCGCTAAGATTGGTTGCGCGTCCTCCGCTACATTCTGGCCTAAAATCTTGCTCATAGCGTCTCCAAACCCCACTGCATCGTGGGCATCGCCGTCGTCCTCAGAGCTTAAAGTCTCCACATCATCGTCTAAATTGTCGTGTTCGTTGTCACTAGCTTTAGAAGAATCAGAAGGCGGCTGCCTCTCAGACTGAAAAGGTTCTTGCACGAAATCGGACGACGTTACTACGTCAGTCATGACTAGCTATTATAACCACTCGATGATAACGTTTCGAAGAATATACTTTTCAGAGGCAGTAAGTTACAAGACAAGTATTGTTTTTTAATTACTGAAATAACATTATTCTTTGTAATGTATAGCAACGGTTCAGTAATGTTATGAATTAGTTGAATTCAATAATAGATATTTTTAAGAAACATGTCGATAAGTCATTAAACTACTGCGTTCACCACCGTTGAACTCTACAAGGCACCAGTTGATAAAATGAAGATGAATCTGTTGAAGTCAATACATCCTGTGTAAGAGACTACACCCCATATCAGGGTGTGTGTAAATTATGCAAAACACGCATCATGCTAAACATTACACGTTAACAAAAAAGATGTGACTTGGTCTTATAATATGTCCCTTTCAAAGCAAAAAGGTATTCTAAAGTACTAAGTTACTTAAGAGGCCTTCGGTTCCGGCGTGCCAGTCCATCCCCTATGCGTTGAGTCAAAGCTTTGCTGCTGTAAGGTGCACGGCAACCTCGATGCACTTGGTAGCACTTTTCGTCAATCCAAAGGCCGAGTCTTCATAGCTGGAGGATGAAATGCGTGTCGTTCAATTATCTGGCCCGGGATAAGTATGCACGCTTATTACCTCATGTCTATCATTGATCCTGTGTATATAAGATAGTATGTGGCACGAGAGGCAAAATTGTCGATCGTTCGACTGATGGCGCTCAACAAATGTGGGAATGCTTAGTGAGACCCTCCAGAGGCGCTCTAAACAAGCGTCGATGGAAGCACCACCAGTATCCATCATGAGACTGCTTAAGATAAGCTTCATCTTCGTGATGGCTGAGGCGGGGGAAGCTATCTCTGCATGAGAGAAGCTGGATTAGCCACGAAATCGACAATGCTTAGTCGGAGCAACAGCGCGACGCGCCAGCAGAGTCCAGGTTAGAAGGCAGTGAGCGAGAATGCCCCCCGTCAAATCATTTCTGACTGTCTTTCTCCTACCAAGCAAGTGCTCCCAAGTGCATTCAAACGTGTGTGTTAAAGTAGTAAATGTCGTGGGTGTCATGCCACCTAACTAGGCTTTTCGCGTGTGTTTCATTCAAGTCCACCGATCAAGGAAGGCAAGAATTTGCGGACTACTCTCAACTTGCATATGTTCCATCTGATGTAGCATTCAACATCTGTGCCCCGCGTGCCTTTCCTCTCTTTGCAGAAGGATCTGGAGGGAGGGCTTTCACGTAGGATCTTCTGGCAAAAATCATGCGGGAAAATGCCAAGTCACAATGGGCTTGAGGAGGCCTACTTAAAAAGGACTAGGTTCATATGTACCTCGTATAGGCTGCGATGAAAGAGAGCGGCTCTTTCCAGGCCCCAGGTATTGTGAAGCCATAGAAATTAAGATATATACGAGAAAGCCGCACAAGTACTTACGAAATACGATTTCAAAATCACGCAGCAGTACGTGGAACATTGAACATACTAAACTCAAATGCGACATTCATGTGGCTTGCAACGGAAACAGGTGGAAGATGTATTGATACGTCATGATATTTGAAACTTCTAACACCGCGTAATATTGCGTCGTCCTAAGACCTGAATTTGCGATACATTCTCGTTCTATGTAAAGCGTGGCTTGATTGCCAAAAGCCATGGATCCAGAAGTACGGACAAATTGGTGCCATGTACTTCTATCGCGTGGGGCTGTGGTGAGTGATGATCACCACCGTTTCCAAGAAGTAAAACCACTTTTGAAGCAGGCATAACCTACGAAAGTAAAGTTTTGGTATAGACACAGGGATTGCTCGATTTGATTTGCAACGGTGTTGCCCAGGGCTTTGGGAAAGGCTCGAAAAGCGGTGGTGGCAGTGAGCTGCAGTCTCAAGGTAAGACAGGAGTCAGCGATCATATGTGTCGATATCCAGAGGCTATTAGTGCTGAGACAGGAATGAGTGACGGTATGTCGTATTTTTTATTGCGTACAACAGATCGACTGATTTGCTACAGCTGCAATCGAAATCTCCTGTGTCTGAGCCGGTGGAGATAAAAATGAGTGACCGTGAGTCGCGGTCTCCTGCATCTGTGCATGGGCCGAAGGGCCCGCTAAAAGTTAATTCTTGTCATGATACGGCTCGGTAAGCAACACAGAGTGACGCTCTCATCATACGGAGTAGTGAAGCTCCACAAGTTTGTGGCAAAACGTATTCACCATGAACAGAGTGACCGAGTTAGTGCTAGAGATTTACATCTTCCCCCACTATTAACGACAGTAGCTCCCAATGAGCGTGATAAAATATCTGAAGGCGATGGTTGCAAGACGGCGGAATCACCAGAATGGTAAAATTGGTACAGGAAAGGAAACTCTGATTATCACACGAATATTTGTCCGTTATGAAGATAGTTGTGGAACTGAGGGTGAAGGGTGGACAGTGCACTTAATCTTCTGTGTTAAGTATGATGCAAACTTGGTAAGATAGAGTCACCCGCCCTACTCGATGTTGTCTATCGATATTTTATGGCTTACGTCAATTCGCAAATTGTGTATGCTCAAATCACCTAAATTTAGTAACTATGCTCGTACAATGCCGATATCACGGTAGAACATGCGGCACAAAAGCATGGTCAGTTAAACATTGCTCAGTGCTCGTAGCCTAGTTGATATTTTATGTCATATGCTCATGAAATGCAGTAATAACCCTTTCATTGCGGCGAGTACTTCGTGCAAAGATTTCTGAGGGTGGCTATTTATGGCCAGGACTGTCTGGCGAACCAGCGACGCTCAGTCGTCTGGTCTCTAATAAGACCACATTTTGCTATTATCCATAGTTGAGCACAGGACATATAATTGAATGTGAATATCAACAATCAGCACATACGAGCAATGCTTAAGTGGATGCGCTTACAGCAGCTACACACCAATATAGGTATTGGATGTTTATCGCCGCGAAAATCCTCTTTCTAGAACGATAAATAGACTGCGAGTATATCCCGGAAAGGTCAAGGTCATCGTAGATTGGTCAGTGCTTCTGATCCTAAGGAACTTGAGAGATTGGCTTGGCATAATCAGCCACTGGCACAACTATCATGCAAATTATGACAATGCGGCACAGCCCTCATTATTCTCTCTACAAACAGCGTCAAGTGCGGCTGGAGTGCGGCGGACGTTGTAGTCTTCAAAAATATGGAAGAAAATCGCGTGAGTTTTCGACACATTCAATTCTTAGTTGACGATTACAAGGCGTCTCTGACGCTTCGGCCTTTGTCACGTGCTGTACCTAAGAAATTAATGCCTCTTTCTGCTTGTATTTTGCCAGCTTAGAATGTTAGTGGGGTAAATTTAATTTTCACACATATGAAAATATACATCCATCCATGACAAGGAGCTTTATGCAAAAAATATGCTTTTGTCACATTTAGGGATTGGGAATCACGATCAACCCTGCCCTGACAAAGAATCACTATGGAGACTCCAATATCCGCTCGCTTATTTATGTGTCATTTTATTCCCCCCGACTTACTACCGCTTCTGACTCCGATCGCTGTACAAGGCGCTCTGCAAAAATGTCGCATTAATAAATCAGACAGTTCCATGAGCTTCTTAAGAATTGTGCCGATTACAACCAAAGCTTCACCAGGAAAGAAGTTCATGGCCTAAAGTTTCCAACATTCTGCTGTCCCATAACTCACGGCGTTCAAATGATGCCGTCCCTCGGATGATCGCGGCTTGAATTTGGGTCTAGGACGAGACAACGTTCTACCCTTACAAAGTTTTAACTCCCTCAGGAAAATTGAAAATAATAAATTTTTTCGTAACAAGCCCCGCGTATAGCGTACTGACTACAATGTCTGCATGTACACTTTGCTGATTTCGATAGGCACGCGTTGTACATAATTGCAAGACGCTTTTGAATATATAAGACTTCTTACAACTTTACAATGACTGGGACGTTGATGGTGACAGCTTACATCGTTATGTACCTCTCTTGGAACGAAGCGCTCTCTTTTGAGCTGGATCTCATTGACCGCGACCTCAACGATAAAAAGCCCAGGGATTATTCGTTCAGCTGATCTACGTCTACTGTGACTCAACGTTTACCAGCTAGGGCTTTACCTGACAACCTTGCGTGAAAGCCAGACTTTGTGCCTATCAGCCAAGCGGAAGTGGCACGCGGGGCAAAAAACAAAATGCTGCCACAAATGCAAGTACTATCACTTTGCTCGGAAGCTGTGAGTTTTCTCTTTATACTCTCAGCATTGGTAATGTCCAACGCCTCTGGCGCACTCATCGAGATACCGCTTCAGGTTCTCATTCGCCCTCGCTGCACAGATGTGATATTATCTACGCAAAGCGACACCCATTGCGCTCCTAAAAGAGACTAGACGGATGCGGAATGTCTCTGGGTAAGCATTCCCTATTCTTTGGCTCTTTATGGATATGGTAACTTCTACCGCCTCTTTGAGGGGGTAAGTGGTTTACAACCATCGCAACAATGAGAATTTGCAAATTCTGGACGTAATCCGCGAATTCTCATTTTCTCTTCAAGAGTAAACAGGTTTGGAGCACACATAAAAACCTAGTTAGGTGGTGCGAACACCTGCGCCACGTACCGTTGTGACACCACCCGAGTCAGAATGCACTTCAGCGCAATACCTTTGGAGAGAAGGCATTAGTTCAAAATTGAAGAATTAGGTTGATGAGGGCCTTCCTCGCAAGCGGCCATCTAGCTTGCATGGCATGAGGCGACTCCGCTACTAAGTACTTCTGAGTTTAGCACAAACGTCTACGGTGTAGGTACATCAAACGATCATATATAAGTGGATTGTTTCTGACTCATTTGTATTCGGCATTGCAGCATTATAATTGATACCTGAAGCGAGGTTCAATTTGTGAGCTAACAGCTAATTTTAATGAATTACCGATCAGTTAATCTCACGAACCCAAACAAGAACGAAGCCGGCACTCGATCAAATTGTCGAACAGTGGTATAATTCGAATCATACACCTTTAGTGAGCATGATACAGCATCAGCATGATATTGTTCGAACCATACATCCTTTACATTACCACTATGTCCTCACCCTAGATATGTTTCTTAGAGCTTTCGCTATGCGGTGTTTTACCGCTTTGCATTGAATCAAGTAGCAATCCACACACCCCGTTTCACGCAAATTTTGCCGGACAAAGTAATTTGAGGTGACCCTGGTGTGGCATCAACACTATTAAAGACACTGTTACATCGAAGCAAAGGTTACTGTCTGGCAAGGCAGGACGAATGTGTAAAATATCCGCAAATGGTCAAATTTGCTGCAATTTTTCTTACATTGTAGTCGTAATTTTAAAAAGTATTATTCAGAAGCAGTCACTCAGGCCCTTTCAGCGTTCTTAGCCTTTCCTGTGACAGGGCATCGACCCTTTTAATAACAGGCGCTTTGAAGGACTTCAAAGACATTTGTTTCACATGATGAACTCTGGATTCATAAGTTAGTTTACTAAATGTATGCATTATCAAATATTTCGCTATTAATAAAATAAAAAAAAACTTTTTGCAGCCGAAACCTAACCAGTAAGTTTCTCTGTATTCAAATAACTGCAATCAATTCAAGCGGGACAAAAAGTGTCTTTTTTTTTTTCTACTCTTTCTGACTCGAATGGTTAAATCCTTACGCTCTCTGCAATTTGCAACTGCCGACCGTGTAAAGCGACTAATAAAATGAAGCTCGTATCCTGCCAAGTGATCCTCTCGATCGCGGCTACAACCTTCACCACCTGTAAGGCAGGAAGCAGCTTCATCGACTTTCGATCTGTGGATGGACAGCTCAAGGCTGATAACGAGACATTTTACATCAAAGGCATTAACTGGTTCGGCGCCGGTGCGTTCTTATCATCCGATTATTTGAACTCATTTCTTTTCTTTTAATCGCAGTGTTAATGCTATACCTCGCTACGTTCTATTTAGAAAGCATTGAACTCGTAGTGCAAGGATTATGGCCATCTGCTACTACCATCAGCAATGCGTTGGACCTATTTGTCACATACAATATAAATGCACTACGTCTACCATTGGCTATGGACTCAGTGATGGATGACCCTACAGTCAAGAGTACACAGACAGGAGGATCGGCGTCATTGGAGGGTTTGACGTATCTTGAAGTGATAGATGTCATTGTCAGGGAGGCTCGTGAGCGTAACATCCTCATCATGTTCGACAGTCACCGCATTGAGGCGTCCGAGCCGGATTTTCCGGACATTGCAGTACCCAGTGACATCACACCAGCACTTCAGAAGTTAGCACTGCGATACTGTAATGATCCTGGTGCTTGGAATGTGTTTGCAATTGATATCAAGAATGAACCGAAAGGAAAAGCCACATGGGGTCATGGAAATGAAGATACGGACTGGAACTTGCAGGCGGCTAAGATTGGCAACGCAGTGCTTAAAACGTGTCCAAGACTTTTGATTTTCGTACAAGGAGTGCAAACGAACATTAAGGGGATAAGTATGAAATGGGGACAAGCTGGTGGCTCGCTATTGGGAGCGCAGAAGTTCCCTGTAAAGCTGAGCAATATGGAGAGACTCGTGTACAGTCCGCATTTAATTTCTCCTGGCGTAGACTTCAAATCACCGTGGTGGAGTGACTCGAGCTTTCCTGATAATATGCCAAAGCTTTGGGACGAATACTTTGGTTTTATACCAAAGGAGACTGGACAAGCAGTGGTTGTGGGGTCATGGGGTGCTCAGATGAAGGGTAAAAATAAAGAGTGGGCAAATGCTGTAGCAGCTTACTTGGAAAAAAATTCAATTGGATCGTTTTACTGGGCATTTAATCCCCAGTCTGCTGATTTGGGTGGTTTTGTTAAAGATGACTGGAGTACTCCAATTGACGAGCGTGTTGCTCTACTTGAGCCATTACCTACCACAAGTGTCGGTGATATCGTTGCTATATATGCGAAATGCTCCAAGACTTGTGCTGGCAACGGTGGGTGTGAAGGTGGCAAATGTATTTGCTTTTCAGGATGGAGCGGACCACAGTGCGAAATTTGTTCTGAGGGAGATACGACAGCATGTAGTGATATGGGCACGTGCTTAAGAAATAGCACGTGTGCATGTGATGACGATGCGAATGGAAAATATTGTGCTGGAACGGAATGTGATGAAGTAGATTGTGGCGATGGATCCAATGCTGGATGCTTTAATGGCATGTGCACATGTCTTTACAATTGCGTTGGAAACTCATGTGCCGTCTGTGCTGCCAATGGCTCTGCTCTTGCCGATGCTCTAAATGGAGAGACCCTTTTATGTGATGCCTGTGATGCTCAGGTTGTCAATGACTTCTCATCTTCCCCAGCTACATTTGCTATTACAGGAAGCATCGCTGCCTTTACCATCCTTTTCTTTTTTTTCATGTGATACATATCTCAATATATATTTTCAATACTAATGTTTCTTAAATAAAAGTGATACCGAAACTTATTACGTATTCGATGATGAGCCTGTCTAGATATTCATTAGGCGTGTCATTAGCAATGTTTGTATATTTAAGCTTAGATACAGTTAGTATTGAATTTTTCATAACTTTCGTTATCATCTTGGATTTACTGTAATTACAAAATAAGGTAGCGCTATGAACCAGTGGCAGCGCACACTAAGGAAGTCGCTGCGCTTTGTGGGTGTGGGACTTCACTCCGGTAAGAAAGTGGCAATTAACCTTATACCTGCACCAAAAGACACTGGCATTGTTTTCCGTACTGGCAATTTAAACTCCAACATCCATGCTCACATTGCGAATGTTCATGCTGGGAAAAATCAATTATGCTCACAATTAACCGCCAACGGTACACTTGTATCAACTACCGAGCATGTGATGGCTGCATTGGTTGCCTCGCGGATCAATAACATTTATATTGATTTTGAAGATTCGAGTCAAGCTTCTAGTTTTGAGCTACCAGCTTTGGATGGCAGCAGTCTCGAGTACGCGGAAGGCATTCGTCGTGCGGGCATACAGGAGCAAGAGGGTGCAGTGCTTCATTACTTACGTGTTAAGCGTCCGGTGCAAGTTTTAATGCAGGATAAGGCAGCATGGTTTTTACCATTTCCAACCGATTTAAGCACTTCTCCTTCATGTTTGCTTCCACCTACACTGCAGATGTCAGTACAAGTGAACTTTGCACATAAACACTTGGGTACAACGTTCTTTCGTTTCACGCTAGGTTCTGACTTGGAAGCAACACTAAACACATTTCACCGTGAAATCGCACCAGCCAGGACTTTTACATTTGAAAACGAGATTGATTGGATGCATGCAAATGGTTTGGCACGTGGTGGCACACTCGACAACGCCATTGTATTCTCCAATGACGAACAATCTACTATTTTGAACGAAGACAGATTGCGATTTCCCGACGAGTGGACGCGTCACAAAATGTTGGACTGCATTGGCGATCTCGGTCTTGCAGGTCTTCCTTTGCACGGATACTTTTTTGCCACGAGTCCGGGCCACGCATTGACCCACGAATTGCTTCGAGAACTGTTCAGCTGTTCTGAAAATTTCGAAGTCAGATAGATTGAACGTATGATATATGACGTCTATTTCTGCATTTATACAGTTTAAACGTATAGGAGTGTCGACATAACAAACGGACCTTGCAGGCCCCATAGTACATATTTGGTGTGCATATGTCTAGAAACATCATCTAACAATTTGAAGATATACTGCTACAAAATTACTATATATGAGCTGTAAAAAGAGAGCACATTGACCAATCATATATTACTAAAATTAGTAAATACCGCAAAGCTCTTAAAATAAACGACTGGAGAGGAAGTAGTCCGTAAAAGACCCACATTTCGTTTCCCATTGCGCAATTGTCGTCCGTCTTATATGTTTGATCATGGTGGACAATGAGGATCTTAAGCTCCCTCTTCTGAAAATATTAAACAATGAAGACAATAGCTGCATCCGGAATCTTATATGCAACCACCGAGTCTACCCAATTCTAAGTGTACGTGTATATTTGTATCCTGTATGTGTCTCTGTATGTCTATTGGTTTGCGATGATGCAATAAGTGACTGATTTGGCTTGAACCAACTAGCCGTGAAGAATCGAATATATCACTATCACCCATAAATTGAGCATTCCATCTCTTGATATGTATGATATTTGAGAGGAATGATGACCAGATACTTTGGTCCGTGTTCATGATCTGCCTCATGGCAATGAAATTGCCCAAAGTTCTGACCTTTCATCATGATTTTATGTTGTTTTGTACTTGTGTGTATGTTGTATTGCTTCATTATACTCCACGCCGGCAATATTCTGCATCCTGCTGGGTTGATGGTCATAGTACACTCGGCACTTCTCGAAGTTACGCTGAAAAGTTTAATGACGAGGATTTGCTGTGTGTATTGGAGCTGTCACTGCCTGGTGGGAGAGCATTTGTGATTAGCCACGGTACTTTGACACTGAAGCAATAGTGACAGCGAGCTTACTACGGATATCACTGCTGTGTGTGCCACGGACCACCGTGCATTTATTCGATCAGTCTTCGGATTGTGACGTTAAATCAATCGGAGTCTTAGGTACCTGGTGCGGTGAAGTCAACATAGCTGCTGATATGTCAACTTTGTTTCTGTTTCATTTGCTGTCTCGAATATCGAGTTGTTGATGATTTAATCATTCATGCACCACTCTGAACTAACGCTTTGAGCACGCTCAAAGTTTTAGTTGTGTCGATAAACCGAACACCTAAGAATTGGATGAAACAACGATTATTATCCTGTAGTGTAGAATCGGAGTTGATTAGGGTCGCCAAGGAGGATCTCGACTTATCATTACCACCTAAACTACCCTTTGGTCTTCGGACAAGCATGTGGACTTCACACACCTGTGTTTCTGAGGCGACTTGTTTGTATTTGCATGTCTATATGTTATGCTGTGGATATCGAGTGACGATATTTGTTTCAGGATTCCCCTTCATGATAGCCGCCTACATCGGCATCTATGATGAGCATCCACGATCCGACGATTCATTCGCAGCACTTGTCTTTCTTTTTTTCGTTTGATGACAAGGATTATAATATCCAACACAGACCTGTTCTGAAACATCGTGTTGATACCTCAAACATGCATCACCATATGAGTCATCTGTCCATTTCTATCTGCATTTTTAGTTCTGCAAGGCAAGGATTTAACAATCTCAGACCTGTTCTGAATTCACATTTGTAGATACACTAACATGCATCACCATATGAGCCTTAGCGTATCATAGCATCAATTTACATTTTATCAATTTTTTTACCTAAGTGCTAGTTGTTCTAAGCGTAAATCTCAATCCTTTAATCCATTCTTGATCGCTGCAGCTGCGAGTGTGTCGAGAATAATCGTTCTCGCACGCTGGTAATCAAGTGGGTCGAGTGAGTACAGATCTTCACGTGCACAGTCGTGATACCGTCCAAAATCTTCCAAATTGCTAGATCGCAAAATTTCTTCAGCAACTGTCCGTTGCAGCTGTTGCATTTGTGCCGGTGCCAATGTGTCTCGTGCTAGAGCTAATAACTCGAATGCTTGACCCGCAAAACGTAACGATTCGAGTCGAAGTGTCTCAACAGGTCGACCATCTAGTCCTGGCAGGACAAAGTACATATCCCCAACTTTCCACATCGGCGCGCGCCAACGTAGATCGTCCCAAGGTCTTGCAGGCCAGAGACAATAGTTCCACCTTAAGAATCCGTCTAGCTCAAAGAAGAAGGTGAGGTATCCGACGAGTTCACCTTCAACAAGAGGTGACGACACAAATTGATTTGGAAACGCTGGACTGCAGCACACATACCAGCAGACGTGCCCTCCACGCGCACGGGCTTCGTTTGCTAATCTTCGAGTGATCTCGAGGTCAGCACATGCCAGGGGCAAAAGAGGCACGTAATCAGCAACTTGAGGTGGAGCATAATTTGGGGAGAAGAATTCCGAGTGATTCACTGCAAGTTTCAAACGGAAGTCTGGTGCAAGACGCTGCATAAAGCGCAACTGCTCGTGAAATACCGCCACATCTCGCGGCTCGTCAGCGCAAATGCGTATGCGATCTGTAATCTCCAACGCCACACAATGTTTATAAAATTGTTGAATGAAGGACTCCACTTCCGACATTTGAGTAAGATATCGAACTGTCTGAGTTGTACGGTCTTGACAACGGATTCGCCAGCCATCTATAACAAAAGGAGTAGATTCAGGAGCTGTACGAGGGGAGTCACATGGAGACGATAATTTGTTTTTGTGATCGTGAACAGGTTTCGATTCACTGGTATTTGTCGACGTTGTTGACTCAGAAGTCAGCGATCGAGGACGCAGCTCTGCAGTCACAGTTGAATCCGGCTTGGTCGAAAATGGCCGAATGTGATGTGCTGTGAGTTCAGCAGGGGCGTTAAATCCTGCAGCAGGATCGCGCCACACGGATAGAAGTCCAAACACTTCAATCTCCTGATCCACTTGATGACGAGCACCGAGCTCAAGCAGTCGGTCAAAGTGTGTAAAATCGATCGTGATTGGAACTCCATGACTTGGATCCTCATATACCTCCAAAATGGCATGCTCAAATAGCGCTGATGCGTTCTGTTCTTCCATATAACATTGTTGTCCAGCCCATGGCATCTCTGTGGCAACAATAGATAAACATTTTTGCCCCATCTCTGACAACGGTGCCAGGTACTGATCAATTAGTTCAAAATGATGCTCACTCCACAGCGCAACTCTGTGGGTGCGTGCTACGGCAGTCCAATGCTGCCACAGATCAAGTCTGAACCGCCAGCGACTCGGTGTGGGAAGACAAACGTCCACAATTTGGATATTCAAGTTGCTTGACCATGTCAAGTGTTCCTCTCGAAAGCCTGAAGCTTGTGTAAATACGCGGATGGGCAATTCATACAAACCCGGATCCAGTGTCTCTGCAATACGAATGCGTAGATACACAGCATGTTCTTTTGCTGCTTTAATAGTGAAACCAGTCCGTTCCAACGTCTCCATGACAAGATCTGCATTTTCGTCTTCCACAGCGCCAATGACAAATAACTCAGTTTGTATCAAATGGGGTGGCACAAATCTCGTATCCACGGCAACTCGAGCACGATGTCCATGGCCAAATGGCATCATCCAATTGCTCGTGTCGGTCGTAAGCAGAAATGCTACATTCGACTTGAATCGTAATTGCGTTCCCGTCACTTCGTTCCTTGCTGCTGTCAGTCGCACTCCTTCTGAAAGCTCGAGATGGGCTGACGTTGCCCATGCCACCCGTCGATTACCACCTGGTGTCTGTGTACTTGACAAACGCTCAGATTCTTCGTCAAATGGTTCTTCGTCATCCATATCACCACTTGAATCCATACATTTCATACTTTTTGACATGGCTGGAGCAAATTGTGTCAATAACCAGCACTTTTGTGTAGATGCAGCATGTGAAGTACTTGAGGTATCCGTTTCATTGTATGAAAAGCTTGAGACAGCGAGACTTGTACTTGTTCCATGATATGGCAATTGGCGAGCAACGTCATCCAAGGAAGTTGTACGATTTGACCTGTGCTCTCCACTTTGCTGTTGTTCGAGTCTTTGCTCGTGGCTCTCGATCTCTAAAGACGACGTCGAACTCATCGACTCATCATTCGACATGGATGCATCATCGTCTGAATGATCTGCACAACTTTCGCTAGTGGAGCGGATACGCTCGTCGCCGCCTGAGAAGTCGCAATTAGACTGCGTTGCTGAGGTTTGGCGTGTGGACGCCATAGTAAAGAGTGAACCTTTGAAATGTACTATCGTTAGTGAGGAATTATGGTCTTGTCCTTTCATTCGTCATATTCCAATTATTAAGAGGCATGGTATTGTATGTGCTGTATGTGAAAGCAAACCTTGAGAACATCGAGACACTGACAGCTCCACCTCTGCACCGTTGGTGTTTGGATGTAAAAGAACCACGTGGCGATGAGAAACGGGAAGGTGTATTTGTATCGGATGAGGAGGCAGTGGAAGTGGCTGGGGGACGGAGCGAGGCCCACTTTACCTTAAAGTGGCCGGGAGCCAACAAGCCATCTCAATTGACAGTAGTACGTGATGTGAAGAAACTAACTCGTGACGTGACGGGTGCCGACTCGGATAATTTTGTACCTTTTGTGGGTTTTGAATGCCGTGGATTAGAGCCTTATGCGTGGCACCCAGAGAGTGGCTACCGCGTCGTGTCTGCGGGAAGTCATGCCACTTTTGAGGACGTTGATTTAAGTGATGATTGGGTAGAGTATGATAGTGAAGGAGCCCAAGTAGTGGGTATTTACAATCTTGAGTGGCAGCTTAAGGTACAAAAGTAGAGAAAGGATGCAAAAGCTAGATAATATGTGTGGCTCATGGATAATTAGATTCTTGAGAAGTTAAACGCATCAGCTCTTCTTTATCATCCAAATCTTTTTGAATCTCGTGTGCGATGTCGTTCAAAAGCGTATCGAAATTCCAAACCTCGTCATCTTCGAGAACCTAACGTAAGAGTTGTTTCAATTTCTGACATCATGAAATGCATGAAAAGAAACACGTACCGCACTTTCCGGACAGAGGTTCTTGGTCAAAAGATGGAGATCAATGCCGTGGATCTGTCAGAAACTATTAATCACGTTGTCTGTTGATTAAGACGATTGCAGCGTACCTGAGCACTCGGAAGTGCGAACTTAATGTCATTATCAAGCTGTTTCAAGCTTTGAACCGCTCGTGTCGTATTGCGAGGAGCTTTTGCAACTGCAGCACGGAATATAATGTCAGTTAGAATATATGATGTATCCAGTTAAAAGTCACCGACTTATAGTAGTAATGTCGGGCTCGCGTTCCTCTTCCTCAAGATCAGGGATCTCCATGATATCTGTATGACAACGTAATGGTTTTCTGTGTACTTTCAGCTTCAACCTTGTCAATCCTACCAGTAATTTCATCGTCGTCTTCGAAGTACCGATTCTTCTGATTGCGCCGCTCATTACTTGAATTCACAGTCTCGAACCCTTTGCGACGTCGACCTTGACGCTTCGTATCACTAGTACTGGACCCAGCAGTAGTTGAAGTCGCGTCAGGAGTTGAAGCATCCTTGTCGTCACTAGCAAATGTCGATTCATTGCCCCATCCAATACTTGCGCGTAGTGGTGGTTTCTTGGCATCATCTTCTAAAACTGTTTCATCATCTTCAACATCAAACGCAGCTCGACTGTGCTTCTCATCTCCATTGTCACCTGCCTTGCTATCTTTCGTATCCAATGATGGCATCCTAATGTCTGCGACGTTTCAAAGTTTGCAATTCTGTGTATGTTTACATAATTAAAAAAGACCTCAGTGTTAGAAATGGCTTGTGCAGCTCTTGACCGGCATGGGGCGGTGCTGGCTCAAGGTGTGCTTGTGACAGTCCATGACTTATACGGCGGTTCGATGCCGTTGCGAGTGCTTGAGACTTATTTGCGTGCTGTCTGTGGCTACGACTTGCAGCCTTTTCGCTACCGGCCGCGTGGGCAGGACCTTGCTACATCGGGCAAAGGTATTACAGCAATAATCAGATAGTCAATATTTATCATTGCTGATTATATAAATGTTTCTTAGAATTGAGCCACGTTTTAAGAAGTCAAAAGCCACATACGATGGGCGAAGCAATTAATTTTGTAACCCACGGTTACGGCGCATTGGTGCTACGAGTGGGTAATTTAGTTTCATGTACATCAGAACGTTCCTACCTTTATTGACTTCGTGTCGACAGGAAGCATTTCGGTCAGTAGACTGGAACCATACAAAGTCCAAGGTGGTGATGCTGGCGCCACCCAATCAAGGGTAAAGCAGGTTAATTCGAGGAAGTCAGCCGTTTGAGCCGGCTAATTGCATTTCAATCGCTGCAGGATTCGGTACCACAAGGCCATGAAGAAAAACATTGGCGTGGCTGGGTACGGCGGAGTGGCAGCTGAGGAATTGGCGAGCTTGAGTGCTGACGATCTAAATCATCGACTTGGGAAACTTCCGAAAAGATGTTACCCGCTGATCATAGCGGGAAATCTCTGTCTCAATCCGTTCAATCAGCATAACTATCCCAATGACGGTATAATAATGGTTAAAGAGACTGAACTGCCCGGGGAGTCCCGACAACAGGTAAGGTTTTTGATGTTCTGACGTCTGGGTACAGCGCAATGCTTTATAGCTTTATTGGTAGATCATTGGGGCTTCACACTATCTCTTGCCGTCTCATCCCACGACAATCAGACTCACACAGTCATTTCTGGGAGCATAATATATTATCATCCCAAATTGAAATTCTATTGACCAGTTGCCGGAACAAATGTAGGCGATGTTTATATCTGAAAGCTGTTTTACAAGCTTAGCGACGATCTGGACGTACGCAATCTGCATACTTATCTGATAAATATCTTTTGTCTGAAAGGAAAGTTTTCGGCGAGCCGCCTAAGTTAGAAATGTCATTCGACACAGTCATTAATTTCTGGCTGAGCCGCTTTTACGGTAATGAGTTCCTATAGCATTGCAAGATGTTCTGAGCAGTGCTCGAAAGTCAGGTGGGACAGGATTTGTAGAGCGGTGTGTCGTAAGTGTCAGTGTGTTGATGGAGTAGTTTAATTGTAGGCTTTTCGCCAGATATTT